TCCCAGTCACCGCAGCCTCGCCTGCTGGGTTCCGGCGATCCTTCCACCTCAGCCTTCCAAGTAGCTGGAACTACAGGCGCGCGCTACCACGACTGGCTCATTTTTTTGATGTATTGTAGAGATGCGGTCTCGCCAAGTTGCCCAGGCAGGTCTCGAACCCGCGGGCTCAGGCAATCCACTCACCTCAGCCTCCCAAAGTGCTGGGATTACAGACTGAGCCACTAAGCCCGGCTTAATTAAATCTTACTGAATCAGTTAATTGCAGGATCCTGTCTGATGGGGGCTCCCCTTCAATAAGATCATGCCTTGCCTGATACTCCTCTGACCTGGTTAGACCAACCACCAAGTGCCTGGGAAAATGACAATGATCCCCCTCTTCAGTCACCTTCCCCACCATTCTGAGGCATGACGATGACTCCAATGCAGGGCTTCCTGCTTCCCAACGGGCTCTCCTGTTGTTCCTTTTCCAAGCTCTAAGGCTCTAGTGGCATTACTCAGAACCCTCGTGTCATGCCACCTATGCTTTCTCTCCCTTAGAGGATTGTATCCTGTTTCATTGTTCTTCAGTTTGGTCTTAGGTTTGATTATACGTGGGATAAAGTTTTTCACATTCGTAGAATGGGTTTGTGACTATTTCCCTATTGCAACTAGAGTTTCCCTCTTTGTATTTGTTCATTTCCTTGGGTTTCAGGGAGGAGAGTTAAGCAGACAAGCACTCTGTCCCCTTGGATAAAGCTCTACCCGTTAGGGCTGGGCTGCACTGAGCTGAACCAATCCAAATCCGACTTCTGGGATGTATCAGAAAAATCAGGCAGGAGACTTGTGTGTCCAAAGAAATTCTGTGCTATAGAATGGGACCAAAATGACGACAATGACCTTCCTAGGAGGTTTCTAGGAAAGAACAGGTAAGGAGTAGGGGCAAAGGATGCCAACTGTTGGAGGGAGAGAAGTGGGCCAGTAGGATCAGACCTACCAGTGGTGGGTGCTTGGTGAAGACCCATGAATCCCTGCATTCTCCCGATCTGAGGCCAAGTCACATGCTGGATCCCGTTCTTGGATTCCTGTGAGATGCTATCTTGCCTTCTTTCTTGGGCCACTCTGGGTTGGTGTCTGTGTCTTAAAACCAGAGTGCCTAAGTGAAGTAGATGCTTTTTATTTTACTCTGTGAAGTTGGATCCCATATCATCCAAGTATGAGGGGAAGGTGAGTGGGTAGGGTTTTAGAGAAAAATGAAGAAGGTAGTGATTGTGAAAGATCAGAGAAACAACTGACAGGAAAGTAATTGCTCAGTGGCATCGATGATCCAGTTGAGCTGGGAAACAATGACTTACAGCAGCATCATTCCATGTGGTTGTGGGATTTTTCTCTAGGAATAGGGGTATGGAAACTAAAATACTGGTGAGTTGGAAGGATCCAATCACTCATAAGACAGGACATTGTGGAAGGAATCTAAGCCTGTGGCTGGACAGAAATTGCTGTGCTGCTTTGGGATTCTAGTCTTAATAGAGAAGGGAAGGAAAGGGTGGAGTTTTGATAGGGAGAAAATGGACAGTTGTCAAGGGATTAGAAGGCTTGTTGAAATGAAGACAGGAAGTGAGCAGAAGGTTGGGAGGTTGTGGTAAAAGAGGAGGATGTTCAATTAAAAGGTTTTAGAGGTGGAACAGTTTTGGATTATGCCAAGATTCTGAGTGTGGCCCGGAAAAGGGCAGCTAGCTTGAGGCTTTTGTACCTTTCACCATTTATGTCATAATGGGGTAATGATAAAAAGGCAAAACTGGGGAAAAAATAGTAGTAAACAGAGTGTTTATTTTTTTAAAATTACTTAAAAAAGATTGTTTACAGAGATGTGGATTTACATAACTTGGCGACAACAGTTTAAAAATGTACAGGCTGTTTAATATTATTGCACTTACTCTTTAATATATAAGGCATTTACTTTACATAAATAAAGGATAATGTCTAATACCATACCCCAGGTGTGGTGCCAATTAAGTCAACCATCAAATTCAATGAGATGTGTGTGAGAGGATGGAAATGATACCCAACCTACTTCAATCTTCACGGTCTATTCTTGCAACTACGATTTACTTGTTAGAACACATATTTACCCTCATAGCTTATTGTGAATGACTGACCAGTTTAAAAACAAAACAATGACAGTTTGAGTCGGACAATACCATTAGTGTTCACTTCAGGAAGTGTGGGACTTTATTAGACTAATTAGAAATACTAGTCATGCCTTGAACACTGAAGACAAATAAATAGCTTTCTATCTTAGGGTCAAAGACAGTTTAGTTTTTGCTTCTTCCCTTAAATTCCAACTGCTGGCCAGGGAAACCTTCTGGCAAGATGTAGCAGAAATGGCTGATGGCTTTAACATCGTGTAATAAGCCAGAGGTCCACCCCTGTACTCCGGATATGAGGTCTAAGGACTCCTAGAATGAGTCCATTCCATTGCTCCACATTGCTTTAGAAACTCCTGCATTTCTCATTAGTAGGCATACCTGTCAGAGTGGAGGCAAAAAATGGTTTTCAGTGTTGACTTGAAATAGTCTCTTATCATTTAGGCAAGAAAGCAGAAACGACAAATCTGACCCTAGGGACTTAAAAAAAAAAAAAACAATCTAGCATGCACCTTGCACTGACTTCCTATAGTATCTTACCTGTAATTGTAGTGAAAAAGTAGAAGTTAAATCAATCAGACCTTTCTAACTAACTCCTGTCCTGCATTCTCATTTGTATTGCCTGTTGAGAAAATGAGAACTCTGGGCTCAGACAAGCCAGATATTTCACTCCCCATCTGAGGGACCTCTGTGGGCCGCCTCCAGAGATGTTTAGCGGGATTGGTCACTCAGAAAAACGATGCACAAATGTGATGGCCCAAGCCCCTCCGAGATCTGGGGGCATTAGCCACAGACCCGAGCTGTAGGTTATGTAAAGAAAGATCTCCAACATAAAATCTCTGTGTCGTCATGTGTGCAGGTATGACAGATGCATTCTACACTCGTGCTCCCAGGACTCGATGGGCTGGTTGGCACCACCGAAGATCTAGGTTGTAACCGCATAGTTCTTCGTCACCTCGGCAGTGACTCACCCTGCTTCATTTTCTTTCTCCTCCTCATGACATGTCGGTAGACAAAGCTGATGAAGGTTTGGAAATTACTAAGGAGATAAGGTCCAGTACAAGGGGAGAACAGCCAGCTACGTGGGGACGCACGGCATGTGGAACGGGAATGGGAAAGGCTACCGAGAAGGAGCTCGTGCTACAGAGGAGCAGCAGCCAGGGTGGGTGTCACAGGCAGCACGAGCCACAGCAGGAACACACTTTTGCAGGAAGACGCTTTTGGCAAATGGAAGAAACTGCAAAGCAGGAAAACAGAAATGGCAAAAACTTCAGCCACCGCAGTTACGCCATTAGGCCAGGTCAAGAAGAGACCCAGCACTTAGAACGTGACGTTTCTTAAGCATGTTGGGTAAGAGGAGAAAGGCCAACCAAAGGATGAGTTTCAGCTCCTCTATCTGGATTGTAAATATAAAGCCTATGTTTATAAGTCCAAGGCCACTTAAAAAGATACTTGGTTTCTAAAAATTTAGTTTAGATTAGTAGTTGGAGTGCATAAAATATAGAAATAGAAACCCAGTGACTGTGGTATTTTTGCCTGCTCTTTTGTTGACCAGCCTTGAGTTCAAGCACTTACTCAAGACAAATTCAGAAATTAGACGTAAGGTGCTTTCAGATCTGGAACTTTCTGCTTCTAAGCAGCAAAGCTCATGGCTATCGAGTACAGTTTATCAGAACTATTTTGTAGAACAGCCTTATGACTTACACTTTTAGAGACAGAAAATGATCAACGTTTCCTGGTGATCAAAATCCTATTGAGTTGAACTCTGCATCCATACATTATACATTACACTCACTAAAAAATATTACTTTCTGCATTTCTCTTTTTCCATTTTCGGATAATTCCTGAGCTCAGCCTAACGATTAGGTCCTAATTCATTTTCTTCTTTTTTTTTAAAGTCTCATTCTCTTTCAGGGTAACGTACACAGACCTACAGGTCCTCCTGCCATTGAGTGTGTCTAAAAGCATTGTGTCACTGACTTACAAAATTATATAAAACTATAGTCCGTTTAGTTGTGACATCTGTGTCCCCCTCAGACTCTGTTAGCTCCCTAATCACCAGGATTGGGTATGTTGGAAGAGCTGGCAAGAGGGATGCAAAGGTCAGCGAGTGCTTCAGATGAAGAAGGGTGTGTTATATGTTGTATCTCCATGAGCAAACCTGAAGGCTGGGGACAGACACTGGAACAAGAGGAGCCTCTCTGCCTGGGTGCCCCAGGTGGAAGGCTTCCAGGGTTCAACTTCATTGCTGCTGCACAAGGCAGTGAGTCAGGCTTCATGTGCAAGTACAAATGGGAGATTTTTATAGTCCTTGTCTCTGCCATTGTTGGTTGTTTCAAGAACCCATGGTTCAAAGAAGTCATTCTTATTTGCTGACGTAAAAGAAGGGAACTGATGGAGGAGATTCTTGTTAGAAGTCATGAAGAATTCCTGTGCTTTCTAATTACTAACTGCACAGGTCCTTCTGGGACGGACTTCATAACATTCCAGGCGTCAAAGTGCAGGAGCCCAACCAGGGGTTTCCCGTTAATAGCAAGAATTTCATCTCCAGCTTCTATTACTCCAGCCTGTTCAGCAGCGCCCCCTGGGAGAATAAGTACAGAACAATGGTTGGCACTTTCATGAAGTCAAAAAACTCAAGGAAACCAAAGGTTTAAGTGAGAACAATTTCTACGTAATATATATGCCCATATTCTTAGGATGGGAAGATATTTCCTGTAAAAGCATATATCCATAAAAGTAAAAATAAATGGGACCCCATAACAAATTCAACTCTAACTCCCCCAACTCCAGCAAGATAAAAACAGTCAGCCACCAAGGGGAAGACACTTTCAGCATATTTAATCAACAAAGGGTTAATGTCCAGACTGAAGAAATACAAATCAACAAGGAGAGTACACAACAAAGTTGGACAGAAGAAATCAACAGATAAATTTAAACAGCTAATAAACCTAGGAAAACAGGCTCAACTTCTAATCATTAACAGATATTGGCTGATAGAGGCAAGTTCTCCCATCCAGGTACTAAGGAGACCCAACCCTGCTTCCGAGATCAGGCATGAAGGGTTGTGTGGCTGTAGACTGATAAAGAGAACCAGTGATTACATGCTTCTCATGCTGTGAAGATTACTTAATGGATTATTTGCACACAAAGCTGAACATATTTTTACATTATAGCTTTGTGTAGGTTATAACAAATACAAGAGCTTTGAAAAAGCTCTGTTTACTTTCTTGCACATACATATCGAAAACAGTCACATTGAAGAGGGTATACACACTGGTATGGAGACATTTTATGGACAAAAGGACATTGAAGGAGAACAGTTCCTAAGTATGAAAATGAAAATCTTCTTAGAAATCTTCATTAGATTTCAAAAGACTGAGCAGATATATTTATTTCACACTAAATTTTTTTGTTGAAATACAATATTATTTGACATTCATACACGTGTAATTATAGTTGATTACACAAATTAATAAAATACAGCCCACTCAAGGACAAGAACATTTTTTGTTGTTAATGAGAGAGGCAGATACTATCATTAGAAGAGAGACCTCACCAATACCAGCTCCACAGCGGAACAAAGAGAATGATCTAGTCCTAGCCACTGCTTTCTCAAGATTCAAATTTTTGGAAGGATAAAAGCACTGCTGTTAAACATATTCAGTTAAACTTGTGTTAACAGTTGTACCCTATGTCCTATTCTAGAATATTAACTAAAGGCCCCAGGCAAGTTATATGAAACAAAATCTACCTGGCATAAGTTTGTCCTGTATAATCACCAGCAATCTCTTTATGTCCCCTGAGAGGGGACATCCCAGTGGTTTGCTAGATTTACAACATCCCCTTGGGGGACACCCAGCACTTCAGGTGGCCAAAGCTAGAGGACTGCTTGAGTCCAGGAGTTCGAGGCCAGCCTGGGCAACATAGCATGCCTCATTTCTACAAAAAAATAAAAGTAACCAGGCATGGTGGTGTGCAACTGTAGTCTCAGCTACTTGGAAGGCTGAGGCAGAAGGATTGCCTGAGCCCAGGAGGTTGAGGTTGCAGTGAGCCATGATTGTGCCACTGCCCTCCAACCTGGATGACAGAAACCCTGACTCAAATTTTAAAAAAAGAAAAAGAAAAAAATCAGTATTGCTAGGTTGCTTTCTGCTGCTTGAACTAGAACACAGGAAAACAAAATGAACAGAAAACCTGTACCCATATCTAAAGATTTCATGGAGGTGGCCTCTTCATGAGGCTTTTTTTTTTGAGTTGAGGTCTCGCTCTGTCAGCCAGGTTGAAATGCAGTGGCCCATCTCCAGACATCTCCTGGGCTTAGACAGTCCTTCCACTTGAGCCTCCTGAGTAGCTGGGACTACAGGTGTACACCACGACACTGGCTAATTTTTATTTATATTAAAAAATTTTTTGGAGAGACAAGGTCTCACTGTGTTGCCTAGGCTAGTCTTGAACTCCTGGCTCAAGCAATCCTCCCACCTCAGCCTCCCAAAGTACTGGGATTACTGGCATAAGCTACCACCCCCAGCCTATGAGTGTGTCTTCATATACAACCAATTTAGCTATAACTCTTGAATGATATTTTAGCTGAGTACAACATTTTAAGCTACAGAAATTTTCTGTCAGTTCTCTGAAGGTGTTGTTCTGTTGGCTTCAGGCATTCATGCTGCCAAGCTGATTGCCCTTGGGAACAATCTGAACTTTCTGTTAGCTTTTGAGATTTTCTTATTTATATTATTTATATTCTGAAACTTTCCTGTGATATGTCAAGATTTGGATTTTTATAAAATTCAGCCTGTTTTTCCCTTCATGAGTTTTTTTAGTCTGTATACTCCTGTCACTTTTCAGTTCTGGAAAATTTTTATTCATGATTTCTCTAAATATTTCCTTCCTCTCATTCTATTTTTTTTTTTTCCTTCTGGAATTCCTTATCTCATATCACACTTTTGTAATTTTTATCTCTTTATTTCCCTATGCTGCATTTTCTATAGTTTCTTTTGTTGTAACTGTTTTCTCTGTATATGAATTTAGCCTATTTTAAATTTTATCCAAAAATTAAAAAATATACTTGGCTCCATTTTCATTAATGGATGTGTGTCTGCATTTTGTTTTTTTAAGTTTTATTTTTAAGAGACACTGACTTACCCCTGAATCATAGCCCACACCTTTAAATAAATAAATAATTATTTTAAAAAAGAGAGAGAGAGTCTTGCTGTGTTGCTCAGGCTGGACTCAAACTCCTAGCCTTAAGCAGTCCTCCTGCCTGCCTCCTGACTAGCTGGGACCACAGGTGTGTGCCACCATGCCCAGCTTGCATTTTGTTTTTTGATACCTTCTTGGTCTTGTTTTCTGGATAAAATTCCTGTCTTTATTCTTAATGGGTTCACCTGTTTCTTGGATTCATTGGTAATGGCTGTTCTTCTGCACCCTGGACCCTTGGTCTGAGCTCTGTCTCTTGCCTGAGCTGTTTGTTCTACTGCCCATCAACTTGACCATTTAACGAATCTGAGGTTTCCTCTCTGCCCTGGTACCTGCAAGTCCAGGCATCATGCACAGCAGAGGCCTGACTCCTGGTTTATGCCTGTCTTCTGCTTGCTCAGTAAGGCTGTCATGTGGACAACGAGTAGATCATGTGTAAAACACCATGGGCCTGACACAGGAAGGCCTTTGTGTCACAAAGCACTAAGAACATATTAGATTTTTAAAAACAAATTGGATTTCCAAACGGACAGGATGACTTTTGACTGAGACATACATGGAAAGATGACAGGTCATAGAAGGCTAAGTTTTCTGGGACGTTACCTTTGTACACTCTTTTAATGACCAGGGGCCCATCTCCAGACACAGATGACTTTCCTCCGTCCAGACTCAATCCCAGCCCAGCCGAGGTCTTCAGCACTTCGACACACAAGGCGTCATGGATGGCCACGCCTCTCTCTGCAGCAGCATTGTTTGTCAACATAAAAATGACAGGGTTGTTCATTGTGCCACCTGTCCAAGTCCCCCTAGATGCTTTACCTTGGGTACTGTGTACTCTGAGCACCTCGAGTCCCATATACCTTGAGGTGCTTTTTTTTTTTAAGTTGGGGTCTCACTCTGTCTCCTGGGCAGGAATGCAGTGGCACAGTGATAGCTCACTGCAGCCTTGACCTCCTAGGCTCAGATGATCCTTCTGCCTCAGCCTCCCGAGTCCTGAGCTGGCACTACAGGCACGTGCCACCACGCTTGGCTAATTTTTAAAATTTTTTGTAGAGATGAGGTCTTACTATATTGCCTAGGCTGGTCTCGAACCCATGGGCTCAGGCAGTTGCCTGGCCTCTGTCTACTACCTCCCAAAGTGCTGGGATCACAGACGTTGAGTCTTGAGGTGCGGCTAACATTTGAGCCCAGCATGAAGGGTGGGCCCTCGCTGGGGGCCGCCCTCCTGCTGTGCTCACATTCTTTGTTCTTCTGGGTGTTTTCTGCGAGCTTTGGTGAATGCTTTTATGCCCAAGCAAGAAATCCCCGGAAGGCAAACTGCTCTTGTTAAGCCCCACACACTGGCAGCGCACGTCTCAGGAAGGACTGAGTCACACTTGAGAAATCAATTCAGCTTCCTCCCCATGGCAGCGGAGCACCACCCCCTGGTACCGAAAGCTGGCAGTGCCAAAATGCCCAGCCTCGTGGGGTCTGTTACAATGGACTCCAAGGCCTCTGGGGAGACCATGGAGCTTCCTTCCTTCCCCCTCCTGCCACTCATGCTTTTGTGAGGGAAAGCCCTGCCTCCGGGCACGGCTGTCTTTGCACACACACTGGCTGCCTCCATGGGCACCAGCATGTTTTCATTGTGATGCCCGCTCCACGGCCACAAACTTGCATCCGCTCTGTGTGCTGGTTTGGAGGGGCGGGCCTGGAGTCTGAATGGGGATTGTCAACTTGCCCCTTACTTCCCTTCCGGATGTGCTGTGTCAGCCAAAGATGTCAGCGTTGAGTGCAGAGGCACGCTTGGTGGATCAAGAGGCGGAAGAAAGACCACAACCGGGTTACACTGCCTGCCTCATGGATTCATTAGGGCTGAGGCCAGGCTTGCGTCATTGCCTCGGAACACAAAGGCCAGTCCATTATTGTGCTTTACAGAAGGCCATTCCGCAGTGCCTGAAGGACATTGACTAACGCTGGGAGCAGCACTGTTTTTCAACCGGTGACTTGCTATTAAACAGGAAAACAGGCCTGTGACAGTGGTTCTCTGCCACTGGCTACATACTAGAATTACCTGGGAACACGAAAAAACCAGTGCTTGGCTGGGCATGGTTGTTCTTTCATGTAATCCCAGCTTTTTGGGAGGCCAAGGCAGGACTGCTTGGGGCCAGGAGTTTGAGACCAGCCTAGGCAACACAGGGAGACCTCGTCTCCACAAAAAAATTTTAAAAATCAGCCAAGCGTGGTAGTGTGTGCCTGTAGTCCCAACTACTCAGGAGACTGAGGCAGGACGATCTCCCAAGCCCAGGTGGTTGAGGCTGCAGTGAGCTGTGATGGTGCCACTGCACTCCAGCCTAGGTGTCAGAGTGATACTCTGACTCAAAAAAAAAAAAAAAGAAAAAAAGGTACTGCTGCCTGGTCCCCACCCCCTTGGTGTTTGTGATTTAATTGAGCTGGGGTACTTCCTGGGCATCTTTTAAAAACACTTTCCAGATGCCTCTCATGCAGTTGAACATACCAGGCCCCAAGTTGGACCTTCTCAGTGCATGATAAGGAATAACTGCATGAAACTAGATAGACCTGGGGCAGGGAGTCCAAAGAACAGGAATCTGGAATAGGAGTGAGTTCACGCCCTTACAGTACTTACAACTTGGTAATTTTGTAGGACCTGGTTCACGCCCTAAAGATGCCACAGCAATACTTAATTATTACAAATAGCAGGATAACCTTCCACGCCTGAGTTTGCAAGGCTGAAAAATTTTGGAAGCTGTTAGGATTAAGTGCCAAGTGGGTTCCTTTGACAGTTTATAGGGTTCTAGGATCCCACTGAAAATCCGCCAGGCAAGTGGAGACAGATGGTGCTGGGGCAAAGGCGAGCACGGCAAGGTCTGATGACTGGGATGCATCCTGATACTGGGAAGGCGTCAGTGCTCCAGAAGAGGGAAGGCGAGGAGACAGAGGAAAAGACTGGGGGCAGCACCGCGAAGGGTGTCTGGACAAGAGATGTTTCTTGTCTGTTCAGAACCATTTTCAGCAAAGACTTTACAAATAGCTCAGGCCATGTTGTGCAAAGGAATCCAGCTACCCTTGACCTTATCAGGGAGAGAAGCTGAGAAGAAACAAAAGGCCCCTCCCAGAAGGCAGTGCCCTGATCTGAATTCCTGTAGACTGTGTTGCCCACTTGACGAGAGAGACACCACCCCTGAATGCTGAGTTGGAGAACACTCCAGAAGTCTGCAGTGCTTAACTGAGGGCAGTAAACAACCTGTACCACAGAGGCAGACCCTGCCTTTAGTTCTGAGACTCTAAGTACGGAGCGCGTGTAGGAAATATCTGAATCTCTGCTAGCAATCTCTTCTTGGCTGGCAAAGACTGTAGTCTCTATTCAAACATGACACACCTTTGCTCCCTCATTTCCTTCTGTTCTAAATCAGGAAAGAATACTAGCTTTGCTGTTTCCCAAGGATAAATCTTGGTTCTGGAATTTCTCCTTCAACACCAATATCCCCATCACAAGTTTCCTGTTTTACTTAGCGGGCCTAACAAAAGGCTGTGAATAGGATAGGGATTCCTCCTTAGGAAACTCAGAGATGCTTTCATGCAGTCATTTTACATCCTCAAAAGTATGGCTTGCAAAGACCAACCTAGGCAACACAGTGAGACCTTGTCTCTACAAAATATCACATGCCTGTAGTCTTAGCTACTCAGAAGTCTGAGGCAAAGAATTGCCTGAGCCCAGGAGGTCAAGGCTCTGGTGAACCGTGATCGTGCCACTCCACTCTTGGCCTGGGCGACAGAGTGAGACCACGACTCAGAAAACCCCCCCAAAAAACAAAATCAAAATTAAAACCAAAATCAAAACCAAACCTGTAATCCCAGCCCTTTGGGAGGCAGAGGCAGAGGCAGAGGCGAGAGGATTGCCTGAGCCCGTGGGTTTGAGACCAGCCTGGGCAACTTGGTAAGATCATGTCTCTACAATAAATTAAAAAAAAAAAAGCCAGCTGTGGAGCATGCCTGTGGTTCCAGCTACTTGGAAGGCTGAAGCAGAAGGATCGCCTGAGCCCAGCAGGTCGAGGCTGTGGTGGCTGTGAGCATGCCATTGCACTCCAGCCTGGGTGACAGTGAGACTCTGACTCCAAAAAAAAAAAAAAAAAAAACAACAACCAAAACACTACCAACAACAAAAAAGTGTGGCTTGAACTCCTGGGAGATATTTGTTATTTACTTGTAACGCTGCTTTTACAAGAAGCATCCAAAATACACCAGGCTTCTCTGCATTACATTTTTGAGACCCAGAAGTTAGCTGTTCTCTTCCTTTATATTCATTCAGAACGTACTCTTTCTGCCAGTGGCTCACGCCCTGCTTCTAGTTGCTGAACTGATACCTTACCAATTCCAGGCTCCAGGGGGACGGCCTTTCTGGACAGTACACCCTTTCCATTGACGGTGGGAATCTCCTGCCTGGCAGCGGGCCTGGGCTGATCCATCCCTTTCTTGATGACCACAAGGGCATCTTTGTGCAGCTGTGCCTGGTGCAGGATCTTCAGGACATCCCTGTGGACTAAGCCAGCCAGGGAGGCGCCGTTGACTGACAGAAGGAAATCCCCTCGGTTCATAGTCCCTTCCTGAGAAGCTGGCCCCTGAGAAAACACCCTGTGAACCTGGGTGGGACAAGGAAAGGAAAAGGGAACAAAAACCAGATCCACTTATGACTTCCAGGAAAAACAAAAAAAAGTGAGACAGTCACTGCAAATCTATGGTAAAGGAAGATTCTTTCTTCTTTTTTTTTTTTCTCTTTGAATCAGGGTCTTACTCAATCCTCCCTCCTCAGCCTTTGGAGTAATTGAGACTATAGGCACATGCTACCATGCCTGGCTAATGTTTGGATTTTTTGGTAGGGATGAGGACTCGCTATGTTGTCCAGGCTGGTCTCAAACTCCTGGGCTTAAGCAATCCTCCTGCCTCAGCCTCCCCAAAGTGCTGGGATTACTGGCATAAGCCACCATGCCCGGCCTGGAGTTTTCTGATGACAAGTTTTCTAAATCATATGAACACTTAGTTTATCAAAAACATATTCAGTGTGGGGGACGGGATTGCAAACGTCAATGCCAGTGTCTGCGCACATCTTTTCTCAGCTTCTTTTAGTGTCTAACCTGCGCCTGGCATCGAGGGGATGGTGGGAATATAAAATGAATGAGACCTGGGTTGTGCAGTGAGGATGACTTCCTCAGTGATACCAAGGGCCTCTGAGTGATACAAAATTTTAAGTTACTGTTCTTAAGAAAGAAATGCTCTTATAAGCAAATGCCAAGTTTGGTCAGTTGATTCTAATGTTTTTCAAGTGCTTAACACATAAAATATTAAGGCAAATGATAAGGATGTAGAGATTTCTGGGGTTTTTTTTTGTTTTTGTTTTTTATGTTGGAGTCTCACTCTGTCGCCCAGACTGGAGTGCAGTGGCCACTCCCGGCCACCACAGCCTTGACCTGATGGGCTCCAGTGATCCTTCCGCCTCAGCCTTCCACGTAGCTGGAACTACAGGCGCACGCTACCACGCCCGGCTAATTTTTTGATTTATGGTAGAGATGAGGGCTCGCCAAGTTGCCCAGGCGGGTCTCGAACCCACGGGCTCAGGCAATCCACTCACCTCGGCCTCTCAAAGCATGGGATTACAGGCTGAGCCACCGAGGCTGGCGAGACTTGTGTTTTTTAAGTATTGCCGACTTAAAGTGCAATACTTTAAATATATAACAAATAATATTTAATATATATTTTATTATGTATTTTATTACATATATACTATAATACACTTACATTTTGGGGTTCGAAATGCTTGTCTTTGTCAATGGAAACATGACATGCGTACTACTTTCCCCACTTTTTCATTTTTATGTTGGTAGCAGAAAACAGACCTCAGTAATCTTTGAACCAGTTGATTGGAAGGTGTGACCTAATCAAATTCTGAGGCTGCGTAAGGAGGGACTTTCTTGAGAGTCTCATGACCTTGTTACTTACTGTGACTGACTTTGGCTCCACATCTGTCCCTCCTGCCACACTGAATCCCAGTCCAGAGCCTTCTTTTTTATACAAGACTATAAAGCAGATATCTTCTTTATTCTAGTAAAAAGAAACAGAAAAAAGGGATGCTCCTTGTGCCAAGAGTAAGGAAGCTCTGGCGTAAATCCTGAAAGTGCTCATCACCGTCCCCGCTGACCCAGACGATGCCTCAGCTTTCACAAAAATGTCACAGAAGCCCTCTCACTAACATCCTGCGTCGCCCTGCTAGGTGGTGCTGAAGTGGTAAGTTTCAGAGGTCCATCTTGTAGCTGCAGAAGCACGGGGAAGGTGGACGTGAGCCAGGATGGGGACAGGGGACAATTTAGAATTCCCGAGTCTCCAGGCCATTTGAGGATCACATTGTGACTCCCCAGATCTGAACTCAGCACATAATTTCACCATGATGGGAATCCTTAAATCCTCAACCCTTCAGCCTACAATTTAGCAAAGGCAGTTCCCAGCAACAGCAAAATGGTGGGCGTTTAAGTGCCAAGAGGCAGCATAAGAGCATATTGAGGCCATATGTCTTATACACCTCTCTCCCCACGTTCAAGTCATTGGATTTCAGGTGCAATTAATTAACTGGTATCATCAAATATGTTACAATGAATCGTCAACCCATACTGAGACTGAAACATGCTTAGTACTGTCCTATGGCTGAATAATAAAAGACTGCCCTACGTCTCAAGCATCAATCAAATGCTATTTTGGAATAAAAGACTTTCAAATAAAAAAATTAACTGGGCTAATTATCTTGAAATCTGGCTTCTCCATCCCTAGATATGATTCAACACCATCGTAAAGCTCTTCATTGCTAGGTTTCCTGTGAAGTGATTTATATAATCCATCATTTCAAGGTGTCCTCAAACACAGCAAGAGAAAAGAATCTAATAATAGCTCTTAAGGATTGATTTGATGAGAGGAAGTGAAAACACTGACAGAGAAAACCACCTCTAAGAAGCATTTAGTCCCAGTAGCAAGTCATAAGGACTAATTCCAAGCACTTGATACCTCTCGAAAAATTTCATTCAAACCAAAGCCCTGTGTGTGGATATGAGAATGTCTTGTAGAACTTTTTTGTTGGGGGGTTTGAGATGTTTACTTCATGGGCACCTGCAACCATTTATGTACTCATGGCTGGGCATGGTGTCTCACACTGTAATCCCAGCACTTTGGAAGGCCAGGGCGAGGGGATTGACTGAGTCTGGGAGTTCAAGACCAGTCTGGGCAACAGGGCAAAACCTCATCTCTACAATAAATCAAAAAATTAGGTGGACGTGGTGGCATGGGTCTGTCGTTCAAGCTACTTGGGAGGCTGAGGCAGAAGGATCGCCTGGCCCCGAAAGGTTGAGGCTGCGGTAGTCATGATCGTGCCTTTGCCCTCCAGCCTGGACGACAGAGTGAGACTCCGACTCAAAAACCAAAAAACCATGTGCTCAGTTTAGGCTTTCTAAACAGAAAATGGGAACATGCAGCCCATGAAAACCATCTTTGTCCAGCTTCTGGGAAGTAACACTCATGCTGAACATTCATGAATATGTCTCCGATATTTAAATGTCTTATTGAGCAGAGAGACAGAATATTTGAAACTAGGACTCTCCTGCATGCCAGGACAAGTCATCATCATCAAAACTTTTATTCAAAATTTGCTTCCAGTGGTGCTTGAGGACACAAGCGTGCTAGAAGGTGACTGTCAGGCCACATTTTGCCTCTCAGCAGCTCAGCACCTCACTGGGGAAGCCAGATCAACCATTAAGAGCTCTCCGTGGTCTGGATGTGTTGAAGTCAGAAGACCAGGGCTTGTTTCAACCTCTCATCTCTCACAGCGCCACCAGAAGGCCATAGGAAACCATTTTGTGCAGTTCTATTTTCATACCTACAGACCATACTCCTTGGTAAAAAGCCAGGCAGCAAATGTCTAAAGACAGCAGAGTCAGAGTGTCTCTGCTCACAGCTCCCTTCTGAGATTGGAGACAGCAGGAAAATTGGAAAAGGGAAGGAAGCTGCATCCTGATTAAGGAAGTGTGATTGTCCACAACAGACTGCAACACTGGCCTGGTGGTGAATACAAGGGTGAGGGAAGGCCCTATGGGCAGCACTCAGCCTCCCCGTCCACACAGAATGTCTCTACTTTGAGGTCCCTGGAAATGTGCATCTTGTTCGTGAGGTTGGTTGAGACTGTCTGGTTTACTCCTTTCACATTTTATCACACTGTAAAATGTTTTTTGTTTGTTTGTTTGTTTGTTTTTGAGTTGGAGTCTCACTCTGTCGCCCAGACTGGAGTGCAGTGGCCGCTCCCGGCCACCGCAGCCTCGACCTCCGGCGATCCTTCCGCCTCAGCCTTCCGAGTAGCCGGAACTACAGGTGCGCGCTACCACGCTTGGCTCATTTTGATTTATTGTAGAGATGAGGTCTCACCAAGTTGCCCAGGTGGGTCTCGAACCCACAGGCTCTGGCAATCCACTCACTTCAGCCTCCCAAAGGCATGGGATTACAGGCTGAGCCACCGAGCCCGGTTCACACTGTAAAATGTCAGGAGCAAAGGAGACGTTGCCAAGTGTGACCCCACCTGTGCCACCCTGATTGGCCATCTCAGGGTGAGACTTCCACACAGGAAATGCTGCCTTACTGTAAGGACAAATCAAGGAGGAAGGGAGACCATGAGTTATTGCCTTTTATTCTTGATATCTCAAGGTGTTTCTTTTTTTCTTTTTTTTGAGTCAGGGTCCCACTATCACCCAGGCTGGAGTGCAGGGGCATGATCACAACGATCACAGCTCATGGCCGCTTTGACCTCCTGGGCTCCAATGATCCAATCCTTCCACTTCAGCATCTCCAGTAGCTGGCACTACAGGTGTGCGCTACCATGTCTGGTGACTTTTTTTTTTTTTTTGGTAGAGATGAGGTTTCACTGTAATTTTTTTGTAGAGGTGAGGTTTCAGGATGGTCTTGAAACTCTGGGACCAAACAATCCACCTGCCTCGGCCTCCCAAAGTGCTGAGACTATAGGCATGAACCACTGTGCCCGGCCTCAAGGAGTTTTTTAACTGCACAGACCAAACGAGTGCTGAGACTCAGAAGGGACTAGAAAGGGGATTGATGTCTTCTATCCCAGCCTGTCTCTTTGCCATCGTGGCCAAGTCCTTATAAGATGTGAAGGCTGGTCCTTACCTAAGAAACCTCATAGCCCTCTGGGTAATATCTCAATTTCTGAACAGTGTTCTTAGATGGCATGAGTGACCCAGGTCTATGACTGCTAAAGAGAAATTGTTCATATTTATTTTTTTCTCTAAACAAAAAATATTCATTGATTAGGGGGTCAAATCTCTATGTATAGTCCTGAGGAATTAATGTTGTTCTTCAGAGAAGTATCCTAGATGTGAACCCATGGTTTCTTTTGTTAATGTTTAGCATGGCATCTGATTTACTTAAAGACTTTGTGATTACTAATCAGCTGCTTTGTCCTGTACCCTTGAGTTCAGATGCTCACAGTTGACTCTCAAACAACATGAGCTCGAACAGCTCAGGTCCACCTGTTCTCAGATTTTCTTCCTCCTCTACCACCTCTGAGACATAAAACCAACCCCCTTTTCTCCTCTTCCTCCTCCTCAGTCTACTCAACTTGAAGCTAAGGAGAAAGATCTTTATGATGATCCGGTTCAGCTTAATGAATAGTAAATATGTTTTCCTTATGATTCTTAAAATAGTATTTTATTTTCTATCGCTTATTTTACTGTAAGACTACAGCAATAACACACGAAACATACAAAAGATGTGTTGACTGTTTATGTTATCAGTAAGACTTCCAGTCAACAATAGGCTTTTAGCGGTTAAATTTTTGGGGAGTTAAACGTTATATGCAGATTTTCGACTGCCCGGAGGTGTGTTCAAGGGTCAAGGGTACTTCAGGCTGGGTGGGGTTCGGGAGAGGGGGCGGGGCGGAAACTACACCGATGTGATTCTTCTTTCACCAGCAGGCGGTGCCCTTGACTAGTTTATGTCCACACTTGGGTAGAAAGAGGTACTCGTGGTCATTCTGCAACATTTCCAAGATGCCTAGTTCTGCTTTGAGGACCCTCTGTGGACAAACTCCAGATGTGGAGGATGGTAAGCAGTTGCTGCTGGGAAAATAAACAGCAGTGACACTAACCTGGCACCTGGACATTCAAGAAAAGGTCTAGTTTCTGCAGCCAGCTGGCAGCAATGGAGGTCATAGTCAGAACTGTGAAACTTGTAGCCCAGTGCAGTCCGCTCCGGGACTCGAGGATATCTGAGCTGACGGCACACACCTGGGTGCTAACACTGCTGTGGTTTCATTGTCCTGTGTTTTCTGCATTACACTCACCTCTGATTGTGCTTTCGCTTCCTGAATGAGAGCTAGGACGGTGGATTTCGACCCCATTGATGATAAAACAGACTGTAATCTTTGCTGGTCTCCCGCTGAGACTAGAAGTTGATCCAAACTAAATAATATAAATATATATGAAGAACATTAAAGAAAAAAGCAATTTCTCTACCTTATAAGGATGCATTTAAAATGATCTTCCTACTATATTGCAGGTATTTTCTGGTCTTCATGCTTTTTTGGTTGTGACTCTCACTTCAAACTAACTGAAGAATCCCGAATGCTGAACAGGAATGTCATTCACTGCCAATGGCAAGGGGAACTGCTATGGATTCAGAGATGCCACCAAGGTGTTAGGGGCCCAGTGTAGGAGTTTAACAGGACATTTCCAACATATTTACAACTATTCAATGTATAGACTTAAGTGAAATATATATATATATTTTCTGAATTGGGGTGGCAATCTGTTGCCCAGGCTGGAGTGCAGTGGCACGATCACGGGTTATCATAGCCTCAAACTCCTGGGTTCAAGTGATCCTCCTGCCTCAGCCTCCCAAGTAGCTGGGACTACAGGCACATACATTTGTAAACTTTTTTTTATAGAGTCGCGGTCTCACTATGTTGCCCAGGCTGGTCTCAATTTCCTGGGTTCAAGTGATTCTCCCACCTTGGCCTCCCAAAGAGCTGAGATTACAGGCATGAGCCACAATGCCCAGCCTCAAGTTACATGTTAGAAATTCTCTGTTTAGCCGGGCATGGTGGCTCACACCTGTAATCCCAGTACTTTGGGAGGCAGAGGTGAGAGGATTGCCTGAGCCCAGGGGTTCGAGACCAGCCTAGGCAACTTGGTGAGACCTTGTTTCTACAATACATCAAAAAATTGGCCAGGTGTGATAGCGCATGCCTGTAGTTCCAGCTGCTTGGCAGGCTGAGGTGGAAGGATCGCCTGAGCCCAGCAGGTCGAGGCTGCGGTGGCTGTGAGCATGCCATGTTGCTCCAGGCTGGGTGACAGAGTGAGACTCTGACTCAAAAAAAAAAAAGAAAAGAAAAGAAATCCCCCATTTAACTCCAGTCACCTTCAGAGGCCCAAATTCTCCCCTGAGCTGCAGCCCTCTCTTCCCTCCCATCCCCCCAGGTACTCCCTCATCTTGTTTTTCCTCAAGTGTCACGTCCTGTTAACCCCCCCTCCCTCCACAGTAACATTTTGGCAAATACTTTTCCCTCCAGACACTTTTATTTTTCCAGTAATGACATTAATTAAAAACACAGACGTCTAATGCAATGTGGTATCTTGGAATAGAAAAAGGACACAGTGGAATTTATTCAGCAAAATCTGAATGAAGTCTGTAGTTAATGGTATTGTTCTAGTGTTAGTTTTTACTTTTGACAAACGGATGGTGGTTATGCAAGATGTTAACATTAGGAAGAGTCCTGGGTGACAGGTACACGGGGACTCTCTGTGTTATCTATGCAACTTTTCTATAGATCTAAAAGTACTCCAAAATAAAATGTTTACTTTAAATAAAAGTGGGGGGCAGGTACTTACTTAACCGACCAGCTTTTGCTGGAAGGGAAATCCTGGGCAGTTGTATCCACATTACTGACTGAACTGGCTGTTGCAGGTTCACTGGTTTTAGGGTTGCTCCCTGGACAGGCCTTGCTCCCACCCTTCTGGGGACATGAAAGGCCTCCAGCAGGGGAGCCAGGTGACCTCCTGGGGATGATCTCCAGCTCGGTTCTGAAGAGCATGGCTCTCGGCCCTGCCGCGTAGTCCTCGCTGCAGAGCTTGTCAAGGTCAGGCATGCTTAAGGCCCTCAGTTCCTGGAGCTTAGAGCGGGACACGGGGGAGAGCTGTGTGTGGCGCACCGAGGACTTGTTCCTCTTGACAGGAGAGGCTGGGGTCACAGACGGGGTGGGAATTCCTGCAGGACCCAGTGATTTCCTCTGGTCTGCATCTGGGCCCTTGCTAGTGGTCTCTGGCAGGTTCTGCCGGGAGATGGTCAGTGTCATGGTGGATGGGGACTTGGTCATCTGGGAGAGAAGAGCGCTGGCTTCACTTTGGCTTTCGCTGCAGGAACTCAAGCTGCGTCTCAGCGACCTGGCGGCCGCGTCACCGGGGTGGCTAGTGCTCCCCGAGGCAATGCTGCCGGAAGACCGTCTCCCAATAGGAGGCTTGGTGCTCACTGACAAAAACGGGGACGCCCCAGACTTGGCTGTAGGCCGGTCAGAGTTGGCCAGGTTCTCAAAAGATTTGATCCGCTGTTTCACAGAGAAAAATGAGGTAGATTCATGGGGCCAGTTCTGCTCATAGCAGTGATGTCTCCTGGTGACTTTGATCTTGTCTGTGACTAGGCAGGTCGTCCCCTGGACTGAAATGATATCCCCTTCACCTGTTGCTGAAAGGTTCCTCGATGTTTCCAGCAGAGGCTTGATACTATATACACCCTGTCCATTAACCAGACCAAGAATACCACCTTTGGATGCCTTTGCGTCGAGGAGGACAGGACCTTGGTTGTCCCGGGGAGAGCGACCCGGGCTCTGTGGGGAATGACCCTCCCGTCCAAAATGGCTTGAGAACTGGGCTGGCATGGAGTAGGTCCTGGTCGCCGGGCGTGGCGTGAAGTAGGGATGGTCCTCCCCCGAGGGGCCCACTGATGTGCCATTCTGGGGAACCCCTAGGGAGTTGGGCATCTGGCTGGGTTTTCCCTGGGAAGAATCTACCTTTCTAGCAGGAAGTTGAGGGGAGGAAGAGGAGGAAACCAGTCTGGCCATGCTGGAGGATCTTTGCATTTCTGGCTCCACCTGGGAGGCATGAGACAGGAGGGAGGACGGGTGACTTGGGGACGATCCCACTGACGGGTGGCCGAGTCCGATTTCACTCTTCTCCTGACAGTTGCTCTGGGCCAAGCATCCTCCCCGTCCGTCACCTTCCGCTGGCTTGTCACCACATGCACTCTTTGGCCTCTCAAGGATTTTCAGCTGGTTTGTCCTTTCTAAGAGATCACTAGCCATCGTGCCACTTCCTTTTCCACAGGTGAGCCTGGGATAGGCTGCCTCCGACGCCGAGTCCCCGGCCGGGCGCTGCTCACTCTGTCTGTTCCCTGTTATGGATATGCTGTTTCTGGAAACCACGGGACTCACCGGCCCTGAGTCGGCACGGGGCGCCTTGCCCTCGACCCCACCCTTGGGTGACCTGGGGGCGGTTGGGCAGCCTCTGTTGGGTTCTGAATGGACGGCCATGTGGAACCTACCACACACACCTTGCTCAGGAAGAGCCTTGGGGGAGGGCACGGGCGAAATGAATGTTCTGATGCTCGAGTCGGACGCCGAGGGCTTCAGCGACCCAGAGGTGGCGAGGGGCGGCTTGCTCTCTGGCACACACTGGGGAGTCCTGGGAGTAGCTGTGGCTTTTCTGTCAGGTTCCTCGGGATCAGATATGCGAAGCCGCTGTGATGCTACCTTAGAAAGTATTTTGTGGGAGGCCTGGGGTGAAATCAAGGGCTTCCTGTGGTCCATCCCCCCGGCCTTCACAGTGCTGGCAGCAGGGGTCTCGGAGCTGACCTTGCCTTTGCCCTTGCTGCTGAGTCTCTTCAGCTTAGGACCACACTTGGGTTTCTGACAGTTACTTAGAAGTGTTTCAACAGAACTTTTTTTAGACGGGTCCTTATTTTCCAGGTTCCTTTTTGGCTGGGGAGGACTCTGAGGCACAGCAACCACCTTTTTGTGGCTTGAACCCCACATCTGAATTTTGGAGTCAGGACTTCTGGCTGGCATCACAGACTGCTCCTTTTCAGCTCTGTTCTGCAACTGCGTACCTTGGTGGTTTTTATTAAACCAGGCCATGATGGGCCTCCTGGTGGCCATTTTTGGTTTCTGTAGCGAGTTGTCCAGGTCTTGACTTTCCGAGATGTGCAGGTTTTCCAAAACAGATTCTCCATTCATGGGGACATCCACACTTAGGGAGGATGGATTTTCAGTTGCATGAACATTTGTTTCATATTTATCTGGGGTTTTGTCATCTAGCAAGTCATGTTCCAAACCATTTACCAGGCTAGGGGAGCTGAGGGTGCCAGGGGGGTTGTGCAAATGCCTGGTGACTTTAGAGGGCCGACTGTTTTCCACAGCTGGATTAGTGCCAGTGATGTCTGTCTTTTCTTCTGCACACGAAGGGGCCCTGTGGTTCTTCTGTGAAGTGCTTATGTCCACAAGCGTTTCGTGCTCCTGAGAGCTTGTATCCAAGATTGACAATGGCCGGGAAGAGTGGGCGATGGAAGCGCGTGAGCCCCCTGGCAAGAAGGCGGCTCTCTCACGTGGACTGTCCACTGATTCACTCAGAGCACTGTGCCTTAGAGGCAGAACTCTGGCCAAAGCAGGGCAGGGGACAGCCTGGGTGGGAGGATGTGCAGAACCCGAGGGTGGACAGGGGCAACCATTTGTGGAACACATTTCAATCTGTTCCTCCTCCGACTCGGTTGCATCTTCCTCATGGGGAGACCCACGGGCACGAGGAGGTGACCAGCTGTCCCGGGGGGGGCCTTGAGGGGCTTCGGTGAGCGACTCGGTGTCAGAAGACGAGTCCTCAGCGTTGCCGTACATGGAGGAGAGAGATGGCTCTAGGCTGTCGTCCAGGCCTGACCGGGAGGTGCCGTCTTCATAAAAATGGCTAAGATTTCTAGAGTAGTTGCTCAGAAAGTTTTTGTTCACAGTAAAATGTCTGTCAGGATGGATCGAATCCAAAACAGAAGGCTGGGAGGCCCACGGTGGGGGAGGGGAGACATCAGTAGCCCTCCTTGGGGAGGGGGTCTGGCCGCCTGTGGCTGGCTCGGCTGGCGGTGGGCCCTGAGCACTGCCCTGCTGACTCCCACAGTCCCTCGTCTGGGAAGGCTGAGGCCTGGCTTCAGAAGCATCCAGCTCCTTGATGAAGCTGTCGATGTCCGTCACAGGGCTCTCTCTGCCACCCCGTGAGGAGCAGCAGTGCCCCGAGACACCGCCACACTCTTCTTTGGTCTTCTTGTCAGTGGACAGTGGTGGGAAGAGGCTGGCCTGCGGTGCCCCCGAGGACACAGAATCTGCTTCCTCCGGCACAGCACACTCCCGGGAGCCTTCAGGTGCGTGGGTTCCTGTCTTTTCTAAAGCCTTGCTGTAGTCCCCCGGAGCTTCCTGTCTCTGCTCCTGTGACGTGGGGTCCTGGGGCAGGATGGCACGAGCCGGTGTTGTGCCCTCTGTCCCAGGTCCCGCTCCCCTGGGGGCAGCTGCCCTCCCAGTGTGGCGGGGCGAGCTGTCTTCTGAAGCTGCCGGGGTCTTGCTGCAGTCAGGAGGAGCTGCTGACGTCTCCCCTGGGGACATGCTGCCCGTGTGGGCAAGTGTATTTGAAGATATGCACTTGGACGTGGAAAGCCTGGGTGACACAGGCTGGCTGGGGTGCTCGGGCTGACTGCCTGGCCCCGTGTCTACCAGACTCTTGCCGGGGTCAGGATGAGTGGTCCCCTTCTTCCCGGGGGAGGGGAGGAGGTCAGGGGATCTGTCCAGCCCTGTGTGGAGAATGGAAGTAAAAGGTGAGGCTGGAGGGGAAATAAAGGGGAAAGAAGACAGAAAAATCTCCCAACTGTGAAAAACGACAAAACTGTAGACAATCTCCATATTTTTTTTTCTTTTACAGAGACGTTCTGCGGCCTACACGTAGGCCTTGTCTTTGTTTTTGTCTCTGAAATTATAGAGCACCCACATCTCACAAATCCTACCCTGATTTAGATGTTCGAAAATAACCCAGACTAGCTGGCAGAATGAACATTTGGGTGGTCTGCCCATTTTTCCTCTCTTTTGGTTATTTTCCAGGACAGGGAACCCCAGAAACCCTTCCCTTGGGTTTCTTTCTGCCATCCACTCTGGGATGGCAAAGGCTGCAAGGGTCAGGCTGTTCTGTTTGGCCCCTTAGCCTTGGGTGCGGATTTGGCAGGGGTCCCACGTGTTTCTCAGTCCCGTGTGGGTTTTAGCTTCATGCCGTGGGATGTGGGCAATATCGTACGATGTAAAAGGGTCCAAGCGCCGAACGTAAGAGACTTCTTTTTTAGCACAGGAGATGAGGCTGACTGGGGAAAACACACAAAATCTTTCAGCCAGGACACAAGTCTCCATGGAGCTCTAGCTCTGTCTTGATGGAGTTGGAGGAGAGGGAGAGCTGGAAGGCCAGATTGTTCTGGGAAGCCTTGACAGAAAAGAGGGGGACTTAAGTGGAGTTTACAAGGGATGGTTTAGCCAAAGAGTGATGAGGAGGAAGGTGAGGAAGACGACAGAAGAATGAATATTGTTCAAATGTCCACACTACCCAATGCAATCTACAGATTTTACGCAGTCCCATCAAAATTCCAGTGACATCCTTCACAGAAATAGAAAAAGCAATCCTAAAATTTGTATGGACCTGGAAAAGACTCTGAATAGCCAAAGCAATCTTGAGCAAAAACCAAAACAAAAACCCTCAAAACACAAAGTTGGACGCATCCCATTACCTAACTTCAAACATGATACCAAAGCTATAGTAACCCCAAATAGCATGGTATTGGCATCAAAGCAGACACATAGACCAATGGAACAAAATAGAGAGCCCAGAAACGAATCCATGCATCTATAGCAACTGATTTTTGACAAAGGTGCCAAGAACACACATTGGAGAAAGAATAGTCTCTTCAACAAATGGTGCTGGGAAAGCTGGAGAGCCACACACAGAAGAATAAAGTTGGACCCCTATCTCTCACAACATGCAAAAACCAGCTCAGAGTGGATTGAAGACTTAAATGTAAGATCTGAAACTATGACACTAAAATAAAACAGGGGAAACACTTTATGACATTGGACTGGGCAGGGTCTTTTGGATAAGACCTCAAAAGCAGAGGTAACAAAAGCAAAAACAGGCAAATGGTATTTCATCCAACTAATAAAACTTCTTTCTTTACAGTAAGGAACAATCAATAAAATGAAGACAGCCGGGTATGGTGGCTCACACCTGTAATCCCAGCATTTTGGGAAGTGGAGGTGGGTGAGGATTGCCTGAGCTCAGGGGTTCGAGACCAGCCTGGGCAACCTGGCGAGACCTCGTCTCTACGACAAACTAAAAAAAAATTAGTCAGATGTGGTGGTGCGAGCCTGTAGTTCCAGCTACTTGGAAGGCTGAGCCCGGCAGGTCGAGGCTGCGGTGGCCATGAACATGCCACTGCACTCCAACCTGGGCAACAGAGTAAGACTCCTACTCAAAAAAAAAAAAAAAAAAAAGAGCCTATAAAATGGGAGAAAATATTTGCTAACTATACATCTGATAAGAGGCTAATATCTTAATACATAAGGAACTCAAATAATTCAATAGCAAAACAAAAACACAAAACCACCAACAAATAATCCAGTTAAAAACGAGAAAAAGACCTTAAGAGATACTTGTTAAAGAAGATATACAAATGGCCAACAGGTATGTAACAAAAGTTCAGCACCACTAATCATCAAGATACGCAAATCAAAACCACCATGAGATGCCATTCAACTCCAGGTAGAATGGCCATTATCCACAAGACCAAGGATGCCACGTGTTGGCAAGGACGTGGAAGAAAGGGAACCCTACACACAGTGGGTGAGAATGTAAACCAGTACAGCCAGTATAGAAAACAGCATGGAGGTCTGCAAAAAAATTTAAAATAAAACTACCATATGATCCAGTAATTTCACTACTAGGTATATATCCAAAGGAAATGAAATCAGTATGTCAAAGAGATGTCTGCACCCCAAGTTTACTGTACCACTATTCACAGTAGCCAAGATATGGAATCAACCTAAGTGTCTATCAATAGATGAATGCATAAAGAAAACAAAGTAGATACACACAATGGAATACATTCAACCATAGAAAAGAATGAAATCCTGTCATTTGTGACAACATGGATGAACCTGGAAGACAGTATGTCAGATGAAATAAGCTAGACACAGAGACAAACACCACATGATCTCACGCATATCCAGAATCTAAAAAAGTTGACCTCACAGAAATCGAGAGGAGAATGGTGGTTACAAGAGGAGGAGAGTGGGGAGGAGAGGATTGGGAGAGGTTGGTCAGTGAGTACAAAGTTAAAGTTCCGCTGGGCGTGGTGGCTCACACCCAAAATCTCAGCACTTTGGGCGAGGACTGCCTGAGCCTGGGGGTTCAAGATCAGCCTGAGCAACTTAGCAAGACCTAGTGTCTACAATAAATAAAAGAAAATCAGGCAGGTGTGGTGGTGCATGCCTGTAGTTTCAGCTACTTGGAAGGCTGAAGTGGAAGGATTGCCTGAGCCCAGCAGGTTGAGGCTGTGGTGGCTGTGAGTGTGCCATTCCACTGCACTCCAGTCTGGGTGACAGAGTGAGTCTCTGACTTAAAAAAAAAAAAAGAAAAAGAAAAAAGGTCAATGGAATAAAAGCAGAGATGCAAGAAACAGAGTGAGATCTCAGGGGGTGGGACCAGGTGATGCATGTCAGGGACAGTGGAAAGTCAAGTCATCCAAGAGGTAAGGGCCAGAGTCACTCTGTCCTGGAAGTGACTCTTCATAAGGCCCTGCTTCCTCCTGGCTAATCTGTCCACCTCTGACACAAAGCATCATGCAACCAGAAAAAGAAGCTGGTCTAAGAATGAACAGAGCTGTTTTCTTAGGAACTGGCATAAGAAGTAACACAGCTATTTCTTAAGGAACTATGGGGGTTAGAGGTTGGAAAAAAAACTCAGTCACATGAAAGCTCTGGATCTGAGAAGTGTGTCTACCCAAATATTATGTTTATTCCACATCTCTCACATAGGATTTTTTTCTTTTTTTTGAGTCAGAGTCCTGCTCGGTCTACCCAGGCTAGAGTGCACTGGCAAGATCATTACTGACTGCAACCTTGACATACTGGGCTTAGGTGATCCTACCACCTCAGCCTCCAGAGTAGCTGGGACTACAGGTGTGTGCCACCATACCTGGCTAATTCTTTTATTATTATTTTTTTAAATGAAGACAAGGTCTCATTATGTTGCCCAAGCTTGAACTCCTGGTCCTAAGCAGTTCTCCTGCCTTGGTCTCCCAAAGGGCTGGGATTACAGGCATGAGTCACTGCACCCAGTCATCTCTCACATAAAATCATCCTAATGGCATATTTTTAACCTCCTAACATTTCTATGTGAATAACTAAGAACTCAATATCAGAACTTAGCATGATTAGCTGAATTTTTCCAATAATGAAGTATTTAGCACTGTGCTAAGAGTTTTCCACGCATTTAGTTTTCCTCCCAACAGTTATGCCAGGATGAGGAGAGTGGTTAAGCAATGTACCAGAGGTCACAGAGTTCACTGGTGGTAGAGCCTGGGGTCACCCCAGGAAGCGGGCTCCACAGCCCATGCCATTGCCTAACCCTAACTATGTGGACACTGTATAGAAAGCCCTTGGCAACAAGGTTGGATCATCAAGATACCCCTGGAGCCTGTAAGAACCTTTCAGGCCCAGTGTGGAAGGGAAGAAGTCTGCTCAGATTCAAATCTGTGTGAACTCCCTTAAGCATAACTTTCCTACTTCTGCTGACACCAAATATGGGGGGAAAGTACCAATGAGACGAAAGGAGGGGACTTAAAAGCTGTTTTTCAATTTTATCCCTCAGGCCAGGTGCGGTGGCTCATGCCTGTAACCCCAGCACTTTGGGAGATTGAAGTGGGAGGACTGCTTGAGTTCAGGAGTTTGAGACCAGCTTGGACAACATAACAAGACCTCATCTCTACAAAACTTCGAGAAATGAACCAGGTGTGGAGGCACGCCTGTAGTCCCAGCTACTTGGGAGGCCGAGGTGGAAGGATGGTCTGAGCCCAGGAGGTCACGGCTGCAATGAGTTATGATATTGCCAGTGTACTCCAACCTGGGCAATGGAGGCCCTGACTAAAAAAAAAAAAAAAAATTCACTTTCTGAACAAACCCTAACAGGCAATTTATGTTACCAGTTTGGCTTTATTGCAAAGTGTAGAACTTAAAATGGCTTTATTTAAGGGAGATGAAGTTATGCTGAGGCAGTCTTTGGGGTCACCTTCTCAAACAATCCTTCCTTTGGAAACCTTCTAAGTGTTCAATAATGGGAGGAAAGTTGAATGAACTATGGCACATCTGCAGGGTGGAAGGCCCAAGAAGCTTTTGCACATGATGTCCTAGGTGAGATGGGGCAGCTTCCTAAGAACTAGCGCAGGCTACAGGTGTGGTAAACCCTGACTCATCAGTAGGTGGGCTGGTCTGCTAGGGCTGGCACCAGTCATGTGGGCAAGGGGCAGTCTCGCTGGTCCCAGCAGGCTGCTCAGAGATTATTATCTCTGGATGTATGAGGTTAAAAAAGGTTGCGAGGTACTGGTGACCACCGCGGTCTTTTTGTTGCAAAAAGAAAAAAAAAAAAAAAAAAAAAAAGCAAAGCAAAAGCAAAGCACAGGACAGTGACTGACATATTTATTTCATACATACTCACATACACACAACAGGACTCGAGGGACACATACCAAAATATTAACAGGTTTTCTCTGTGGCTTAGGTGATTTTTATGCTGTCTTTAAAATTTCCCCTCTCAACTGCAGTTTCCTCAGTTTTAATAATACACATGTATTCCTTTCATAACAGAGTCATTTCAAATGTAGTGACAAATAAGGTGTCCACACTCCCCATGGGGCTCATGGCTTTTCTCACAACAGCGTTGACGGCTCTTCCACATCACCACCTCCTCCTTTTTCTGGTTTCTAAGAGCCAACCATTAAAAGAGTGCCAGTCATTGCTAGAAAGCTAAATAGAATCTCAAAATCTACACTCACAATCAATGATACCTCGGTTGGTCACTTACTCCTGGGTAAACAGCAAGTTGATCTTTATTCCTTTCTAAAATCTTTCTTAGGTAAATCATGTGTATATGTGTACACACATACATATGGCTTACTGAATGCATATTGTATACTAGGCAGATATATACATGCATACATGTTTTTTAGGAAAACCACATACACACATAAAATATAACGTATTGAACATATTAGGTATTAGACAGTGTCCCAAGTGCTCTATACGAAAATGTCGTTGATTCTTCTTCAATTGCCCCACGAGGTGGGCAGCCTAGGACATAAGTGATTAATCCAGGGTCCCTTCCCTGGTCAAATTTTGGAACCTGGATTTGAACCCAGGCAGCCCGTATATGGTACTCATGTGCTTAACTACCATGTTATGTATATATTTCAGAATTTTAAGGAAGATTTTTTTAAAAGGGTAAGGTGTTCATCTCTGATCAATGATGCACTTTTAGATATTTCAATCCTACATGTTAGAAAGCAGTTAATCTATTTTTTTTTTGAGTTGGAGTCTCACTCTGTCGCCCAGGCTGGAGTGCGGTGACACTCATGGTCATTGCAGCCTCGACTTGCTGGGCTCAGGCAATTCTTCTGCCTCAGCCTTCCAAGTAGCTGGAACTACAGGCATGCGGCACCATGCCCAGCAAATTTTTTGATTTGTAGAGACGAGGTCTCACCAAGTTGCCCAGGGATCAGGCAACCCCTGGGATCAGGCGATCCTCTTGCCTCAGTCTCCCAAAATGCTGGGATTACAGGCTTGAGCCACGGCACCTGGCTTCAGCTGAGCTATTTGTAATCAACCTGGAAGAAGAGATGCAACTGGCATCAAGCTGTCATCAGGACCAACTGGTCACAGCTAGCCTTTTAATCGAGAAGGAGAGAGAAAAATCTACAAAAAGGAGGCAGAAGCTCGAAAATAGTTTAGGGATCGGGTATAATTTTTTAGTACACTGAAAAATACTGTACACTTCCAATACTGTACACCCCAAAAGCCATAGAAGGCGCCAGCGTGTCACGGCAACTCAATGATCAAGCCTCAAAATGAGGACCTTTAAGCATGACATGACCGCCAATATATTATGTTTCAATACGTTAGCTACAGATTACTTAAATATTGTATATTTAAGTAATAAAATAAAAAAATTGTCATTTTCACAGCAAAAATAGACATGATTCTATTTCTATTTATAATATATACGGTACATTAAACAGAATCAGTTCCAGGCACTGGCATTCATCGGCTACTCAGCAGATGCCAAAGACACAGAGTCGTTCCTTTCTCAAGGCTCATTACCTGTGGGAAGTCCAGAGAGGGGAAGACAGAAGAGCACCCAGCACCAGCAGCACGCGGGGATCATGCTGTCACAGAGGTGCACAAAGCGCTGTGGAGCACGGGGCAGGCAGTTCTTCTGAGGGGCTGGGGGCAGGAGACCAAATGTTTCTCTACACTCAATATAACACAAGAGGACTTTATATGCATAAACCCATTTATGTTTTTTGCTTGTTTGTTTGAGTCGGGGTCTCACTGTCGCCCAGGCTGGAGTGCAGCGGCACAATCACGGCTCACAGCAGCCTCGACCTTCTGGGCTCAGGCGATCCTTCCGCCTCAGCCTCCCAAGTAGCTGGGACCACAGTTGCACACTACCATACCCGATTAATTTTTTGAATTTTTTTTTTTTTTATGTAGAGACAAGGTCTCGCTGTGTCGCCCAGGCTGGTCTCGAACTCCTGGGCTCAAGCGATCCTCCTGCCTCAGCTTCCCAAAGTGCTGGGATCACAGGTGTGCACCACTATGCCCAGCCACCATTTACTTAAGGTATCAACCCTCAGTATTCAGAAAAACTGGGTTTCCTAGAATAAGAAATCCCTCAGGGGGTGAGAAAGGAAATAATTTTCTGCACGAGGTTGCCAATTAGGAAGATGTTGGTCTCAGTGAAAAAAATAATTCCTTGCTGCCCCTTTCATCCCAAAGCAAATATGGATTTCAAGGGAACACCCAGAGGATTGCTATGTACAACATGCACTCTTAAAATGTATGAAGATGCTGGCCTTGCATGAAGCCTTACTTTGAATGGTGACATCGAGGGCTGCCTCAATGTAACATCATCACCCTCAGATAAAACCCCTGTAAGTTAACACACTTTGCAGTGAAGTCAAATTGCAAACCAACAATGCCCGCTAATGTTTGTTCAGCGAGTGAATGTAAACCCGAAAGACAGAACAGAGATCATAGTAACAACCTCATCCCTGATCGAGGAATAGAGCCTCAGATCACAAAACAAAGACATCAGGGGCCTGCATTTGTTTTCTGTGAGCAGTTATCAAGGTGGAAACTCGGTGGTTTCAACATCTTAATGTATAGGACAGGCCTAACAAACAAGGTGATCTTGTTTCTCTCTTCGACCATGGTTTGCTGGCCACTCGGGAAGCAAGTGCCTCAGACTGCCAGACTCCCACAAAGGTTGACAAGGGAGATCACGGTGATCACCAGCCATGGAGAAGAATGTCCTCTCCTCCAGAGTGCAAATTTAGAAACCAAATTTTTCTTAAAAATCTCCACTAATAGGGAAGCAAAGTCACTTCCTTCTGTTTTATTTTATTCATGCTTTTTAGAGACAGAGTCTTGCTCTGTCACACCCAGACTGGAATGCAATAGTGTAATCATGGCTCACTGCAGCCTCAAATTCAAGCAATCCTTGCGTTTTGGTCTTCTGAGTATCTGGGAGTACAGGTGCATACCACTGTGCTCAGCTAATTAAAAAAATTTTTTTTTTTGTAGAGATGAAGTCTCGCTATGCTGCTAGGCTAGTCTTAAACTCCTGGCCTCAATCCATTCTCCTGCCTTGGCCTCCTGAAGTGCTAAGATTACAGGTGTGAGCCATCACACCCAGCTTGATTTTTAAAAAATCATGTTTTGATTAGGTATGGTGGCTCACGCCAGTGATTCCAACACTTAAGGAGGCCAAAGTGGGAGACCTGCTTGAGCCCAGGAATTCAAGACTAGACTGGGCAACCCCATCTCTGAAAAAAAAAAAAATTAGCTGGGCATGGTGGCCTGTGCCTATAGTCTCAGCTACTTGGGAGGCTGAGGTAGAAGGATCACCTGAGCCCAGGAGGTTGAGGCTTTGGTGAGTTGTGATTGTGCCACTGCATTCCAGTCTGGATGACAGAGTGAGACCCTGACTTAAAAACAAAAAAAAAGTTAATTAAAAATCGTGTTTGCAATATTGTTTTGCACACTGCTAGATAATGGGTAGCCAAATAAATGCTGAGATGATTTCATCTTCTATTTTATTACTCCATCTCCCATCAATACTTATGTATAATTTTAAAACATTGTTTTACTTTCCCTTTGTGGAGGTTCTTACTGCCACTTCTCAGTGCATTTGATTTCACAGAGGCAGAGTGTTGAGATTCTGCAGGGTGTGAACTCCTTGATTCATTTTGTATCTGTCTCATTGGTGTTCCAAAATAGTTAAATAGTGTGGAGTGACTGAAAATGAACATATTCAACATGGAATTAAAACTAGGAGTTAAGGCACAATGATCTAGTAAAGTGGTTAATGCAGGCAACATTAAAAAGCATCCATTTGTGTAAAAGTCCTCCTCCCCAATTTACCCACGTGTGATGCTTCTATGAAGGCATTTACCCTCCTTATCTTTATGTCTGATGAATAATAAAATCATCTTACCAGTGACGGGTTGTTGCCCCTGCTCTGGTGCAGTTTTGGGCAGGTTCTCTGTGAGGTAGCTGCTATCTGGGTGGGACAGAGCGCTGGCTGGCCCACTGCTGGTAGGGACACGGATATCTCCGATGGTCAGCTTGCCCAGAGATTCCTGGCACAATGACAACCACAGGTCATGGGAAAAAGCTTTCAGGTTTTCCATCTCACAAGACAATAACACATGCAGAGGAGAGCTGGTTTGGGGAAAGTAAGGGGAAAAAAAAAATCCCTGGACCAGGAGCCAGCAGATTCAGATTCTGGGTTTAAAGTCTGCTAGGAATTGCATGGTCTTGTCATTCTTCTTCAAGCCTCAGTTTTCTCAACTTTAAAATGGGGATGATACAACCTGAACAGTCTTACTCATAGAATTTAAAAGAAGATAACAGGCTGGGAGCAGTGGCTCACGCCTGTAATCCCAGTGGGAGGATTGCTGGTCTCTACGTCACACCAAAAATTAGCTGGGTGTGGTGGTGTGTACCTGCAGTCCCAGCTACTTGGGAGATGGAAGCAGAAGGATCACCTGAGCCCAGAAGGTCAAGGCTGCAGTGAGCCACGATTGTGCCACTGCATTCCAGTCTGAGTGAGACCCCAACTCAGGAAAAAAGATGATAAAATAAGAGCAGTTATATATGTAACATACAAAAAGCTAGAGAAATGTGAGGCATTGTTACTATATTGCATAGAGATAGACTATGAAATCAACTAGTTAGTTCAACAACGAGGCAGAAGACTTATCTGGATAAATGAAATTGACATTTAATATTCCAAGACTTCACTTTGGCCAAGTGTTCATTACTTCCTCTTCCCTTCTTCAATCTAATATCCAACGCAAAGAAATTCTAAAACTTACTAAACAGTTAAATCGGATTTATTTGAAATTTATCCATTGTGTGAATAAATCACCAAGTGACCCGCAGGGGGCAGCAGAAGAAAGAGGTGGAAGGGATGAGCGTCTTTCAGAATCTCTTGTAAAAAAATTGTTTTGTAAAATGTCAATTGCCAGCTGAGGGAAACCTACACAGGGTTTAACTCAGTTCCACTTACTGGTGAGGCATAAATGTAAAAAACAGTAGGCAAATTTTGGAACTACATAGAGTGGCTAATTGTGCTGCATTGTGAATATACTAAGTGCAATAAACTACACTTCAAAGTGATTAATTTTACTTTATAGTATTTCACCTCGATTTTTCAAAAGTAGTAAATGAAAACAGAAGATAACCCATTTACCAAAAGAGAAAGTTTTTTTGTTTTTCTTCCAGGGTAAATGTGTTGAGGATAAAAGCGTTACGGCAATGCATTCTATTTTCTTTCTATAAATAAAATCAAATTTGGAACTAAAATTTTTATGAGAAAAGTTGCATTATTTTAGATAAATTTTAAGTACTGCTCAGAAATCCTTATTGGGAATATGAATTCAGAATTACACAAGCAAGCTCTTAATGTAATAGATATAAATTACTATAAATAAAAATCCTGATTTGGCTTCATATAGTTACCTAAAACTTGTTGATGATGCTTTTTAAAAGAAGGAACTTACCTAATGGCCAAGAAATATATTTTAAAACACATGTGCTGGTTGGCGGTAAGACATGATTTTAGAAGAGGATGAAAAAGTTGTTCATTTCTACTTTTTTTTTTAATACGGTTAAAAAAAGATTTCTGCTTAGTGTAGTTTTTATGAATTGACATTTTCTGGGTCTATTTACAGATATATTTATATATTGAAGACACAGCTTTACAAATATGACTATAAGCCATCTCAGAGAGGGGGGTTATATTTACGTTGACGATATTGTAAACATTAATTTCTCTTACTCTTTCCTTGCTAAAGTGGAGGTGTATCAGCATTTTACAAAATGAACAATTTGATAATTCTCCCATATGTGTAACCAAGTAGTAACATACGATACTAACCTGCACTGAAATGGATGCATTTTCAGTTTCTATGAGAAGACAAACCCGTTATTGTGTGTGACACGACAGGGGTATGAGTAGCCATAATTATGCATAATAACCACTGAGGAAATTCTGAAGCAATAAGGCTCACTCACAACCTCATCAGCTGGAGAGTCACCCCTGACGTACGTGTGATGGTCACTCCACCTCTGTGACATGACCAAGGCAGAGAGCTCCATCTCGATCTTGCAGCCCAGAGAACGGAGGTTCAGAAAGGTTCAAACACTTGTCCAAGTCGGCACACAACTCGTGCCAGCTTGTCAGCGGAGCTGGTATGAGACACTGGGTTTTACTTGACCCGCATCCCACTGTCTTTCCCTCATCACCCACGGGCACTGTGTGCAGGTGATCTCCTGGCTAAATGATCTCCTGACTAACAATCTGCTGACACATCAGTAAGCACCCAAGTTATCTATGTATTTAAGAGCATGACTGTTGAGAGAGAATTCTCCCATCACTATCCCTTCCTTTGGGTAGGTTACTCCACGTTTCGCACGGACTCCACGTTCATACAATATGAGTCAAAGTAACTAAGAGAAAGTTACCTTCTCCATAATTCCACCTGCCTGGAAAGCAGGGACGGTCACTTTGACGGCAGTGGCCTGGACTTTCAAGTCCACGCTGCATGGTTCATTGGCTCTGCCAGTTGGGTTCACCGTCTCCGAGCTGCCGGGTTGGGCCTCAGCCTCAGCCTCAGCCTCAGGTCTCTTGCAGTGGGGGCTGACCCGGGCCACTGGTCTGTGCCTGGACCCCAGTCCTTCATTCTTCTGAGAGGAACTGGAGCTCTCTGTGCTTAGCTGACTCTGGGTGTCTGTATGGGCTTTGTACTCCAGTTTGGGTGAACTACTTGATCCTGACAGCTCCTTCTTCCAAGAGCCTCCAGGGCACCCTCTGGGGGCCTCTGCAGAGTCCAGCAGGTTGGCTGCATGGGAGGAAGTGCCAACCATATCCCCTGGGACACTTTCCTCTAAGTTCACTGAGCTACCCAGGAGTGGCACTGAGGAGGCCTTACTGACCAGTGTTTTCTGAGGTTTCTCCTCTTGATTGCTGACAACCATGACCTTGGAAGAGGTCGTTGAGATATGCCCAGAGTTTTCATCTGTCAGAGACCGGCTGGGACCTGAGAGGGCCCCTGGGAGTAAAATGCAGTCCCCTTCTCCATCGAACTCTTCCTCATCACTGGCGTCATTGGCATCGTAGCAGCCTACCTTCCTCTGACGGAGGAGAGGATTTCGGAGGACCTGTGGGCTTCCAGGGAGACTGGTTTGTCTGGCCACTGTCACCTGCTTGTGGAAGAGCCCAGAGGATCGCTGGCTTCCTAGAGTCACAAGACTGTTGGCCCTGGCTTTTCCTGGCTCCTTGTGAGCTGGTGGGGGAGGGGAGATAAAAGTGACATGAAAGTGAGTTGTGGTCTTACAATCTATCCCCATCATAACACAAGAGCATTTCCATAGTCACTAATGGCAGACACACAACCTTTGGCCACTGGATATTAGGCTTAGACAACATGGCTTTTTGGGAGCTGTACAAAGTGGACAATCAGCTTCTCTCTCTCTTTTTCCTGCTGGCCTATCCTTTTTTTCCCCCTTAAATTCCAACCTCTGGATTGTTTAACTTCAACACGTGTTGTCTGGAGATAGAAACATATGATTCTTTGAAGTCCATGATGTCTAACATTGTTGGGGTTCAATCTAAATACTGCTGCTGAAAATTCCTCTCTAGAATGATGCCCAGGACTGATGACACATCCCGCATACATGGGCCTTTTTGTTATCTGAAGTCCTTCCTTCATCTGCAGAAAGGCTTGATTACAAGTATGTGGTTTCTTGGAACACAGTAAATGAAGCCCGAACTGTCTTTTTTTTTTTTTTTTTTTTTTTTGAGTTGGAGTCTCACTCTGACGCCCAGACTGGAGTGCAGTGACTGCTCCCCGCCACCGCAGCCTCGACCTGCTGGTCTCCTGCAATCCTTCCACCTCAGCCTTCCGAGTAGCCGGAATTACAGGCGTGCGCTACCATGCCTGGCTGATTTTTTGATTTATTGTAGAGATGAGGTCTCGCCTGCCCAGGCGGGTCTCGTACCCGCGGGCTCAGGCAATCCACTCATCTCAGCCTCCCAAAGGCATGAGATTACAGGCTGAGCCACCGAGCCTGGCTCCGAACTGTCTTAATACTCAAAGATAGTCTAGAGCAATGCCAACTGTGGAAGGAAAGAAAACATGGCTGCTCTGGAAACTCTTTTTTTTGGTAGAGGCAAGGCCTCTCTATGTTGCCAAAGCTGCTATTGAACACCTGGCCTCAAGTGATTCTACAGCCTTGGCTACCCAAAGTGCTAGAATTACAGACATGGGCCATCATACCCAGCCCTGCAAACTCTTTATATCCTGCTAAATATAGTGAAAAATGAGAAGTGCTTGCATCTTGAAATATTTCTATCAGAACAAAGTAAACCCATCAACGGCTTCAATTGAGTCAGGGTGGTCACTGCCTGCCTCTCCTAAGACAGAGGGATTTTCTTGTTCAGATTAGAGATAAAAAGGAGCTGGGTGCAGTGGCTCATGCCTGCAAGCCTAGCACTTTGGGAGGTGGAGTTGAGAGGACTGCTTGAGCCCAGGGGTTCGAGACCAGCCTGGACAACTTGGTGAGACCTCATCTCTACGATAAATAAAAAAATTATCCAGGTGTGGTGGCACACACCTATAGTTCTAGCTACTTGGAAGGCCGAGGCGGAAGGACTGTCTGAACCCAGGAGGTGGAGGCTGCAGTGAGACTTTGACTCAAGGAAAAAAAAAAAAAAAAACCTCACCAAGAGAAAGAAGTCTAAGAAATCTGTGCAGTTCACACCAGATTACTGCATAGTATCTTGAGCAGATAATCAATGAGATGATTTTTTTTTGACTTGGAGTCTCACTCTGTCGCCCAGACTGGAGTACAGTGGCTGGGCCACCGCAGCCTCGACCTGCTGGGCTCCGGCGATCCTTCCGCCTCAGCCTTCCGAGTAGCCGGAATTACGGAATTATAGGCATGCGCTACCATACCCGGCTAATTTTTTTTGATGTATTGTAGAGATTTAAAAAAACAACCTCTTGAAAATTTCTGTTTCTAGACCAGGTTTGGTGGCTCATGGGTCAGGCACCGTGGTTCACGGTGAGGCGTGGTTCACGTCTGTAATCCTAGCACTTTGGGAGGTTGAGGCAGGAGGATCGCTTGAGCCCAGGAGTTTCAAAACCAGCCTATTCAACATAGTGAGACCTTGTCGCTACAAAAAAAATAATTAGCTGGGCATGGTGGCATGCACCTGTGGTCCCAGTTACTCAGGAGGCTGAGGTGGAAGGAACGCTTGAGCCCAGGAGGTCAAGGCTGTGGTGGGCTGTGATGGTGCCACTGCACTCCAGCCTGGGTGACAGTGAGAGTCTGACTCAGAAAAAAAAAAAAGAAAAGAAAAAAGACAATATCGGTTGGGTGCGGTGGCTCATGTCTATAATCCCAGCATTTTGGGAAGCTGAGGTGAAAGGACTGCCTGAGCCCACAGGTTTGAGACCAGCCTGGGCAACTTGGCGAGACCTCATCTCTACAATAAATAAAAAAATTAGCCGGGTGTGGTAGCGCGTGCCTGTAGTTCCAGCTACTTGGAAGGCTGAGGCGGAAGGATCGCCAGAGCCCAGCAGGTCGAGGCTGAGGTGGCTGTGAGAGTGCCACTGCACCCCAGCCTGGGCGACAGAGTGAGACTCCAACTCAAAAAAAATAAAAAATAAAAATAAAAATAAAGAAAAAAGACAATATCTATCTCTTAAGAGTTCTCAATCTTTTACTTATTATCTTCTAAAAAGAATTAAGTTAGAGCCAGTGAGGGACCTGAAATATGGCTGAGATTCTCTAAAATATAATGGCATCAGGTTGCCCACTCAAATTTGATACCATAAAAATCAAGACTGGCTGGGCTTGGTGGCTCAGCCTGTAATTCCACACTTTGGGAGGCCAAGGTGAGTGGATTGCCTGAGCCCGTGGGTTTGAGACCCGACTGGGCAACTTGGTGAGATCTTATCTCTACAATAAATCAAAAAATTAGCTGGGCGTGGTAGCGCGCGCCTGTAATTCCGGCTACTTGGATGGCTGAGGCGGAAGGATTTTTGGAGCCCATCAGGTCGAGGCTGCGGTGGCCGGGAGCAGCCACTGCACTCTAGTCTGGTTGAGAGAGTGAGACTCCAACTCAAAAAAAAAAACCCAAAAAACAAAAAAAATCAAGACTGCCTGGGCAGTTGGCTCGTGTGTAGTTCCAGCACTTTGAGAAACTGAGGTGGGAGGATAGCTTAGGCCAACAGTTTGAGACCAGCCTGGGCAACTAGGGAGATCCCCGTCTCTATAAAAAATTAAAAAAAAAAAATAGCTGGTAGCGCATGTTCTGGCTACTTAGAAGGCTGAGGCAGGAGGATAGCTTAAGTTCAGGATGTCCAAGGCTGCAGTGTGCCATGATGGTGCTACTCACTCCAGCCTGGGTGACAGACGGAGTCTCTGTCTCAAAAGAAAAAAAAATCAAGACTACATTAAGCAAATGACAATGAAAAGGGATCCGGTTTAGTTACTACCAACCACGGGGTATAGAATGTGGGTGTCAACCCATTTACTGCATAATTGAGTGGTCAGTCATTGACAGTGGCTGTATTTTCCACGAGTAAACTCTGTATTTAGTCAGCATATTAGGAGGTTTCTACTTAACCAGAGGAATGGTTTCCAGTTTTTTTTTTTTTTTTAATATTATAGCACCAGGGTAGTTAAGCCTCTGTAGCCTCCAGCATGGAGGTGAAAACTAGTCACTGCTTACTGGAATGCAGAGCCCAGGGCCCTCCAGGGCCCTCTTGCTTACTGGAGCTGCCGGAAGGCAGGCTGTTGTCTTCCAATGTGCTGCAGCCGCTTCCTGGGCGATCCTCATCCTCAGAGCCGGCCACCGTGAAGTCTGACAAGGGGCCAGGGACCTCTTGGACAAAGTACTGGGAGAGGTCAGATTCAGAAATAGGGGAGTCCTGTGGAAGAAGAAAACGTCAGAGGACTAAGACGATGCACCAAAAGCAGATTTTAAAGGGCAATTACTTCCTATCCTTCCAAGAACCCTTTGTTTTAATCCACGGTCATTGGAAACATCTGTGGTGGTAAACACACACCTCTGCTTACTTTAGGATGGTGAAATTGACAACTAGTGAATAAAAAATGTGAATGCTGCCAGATAATGTTTTTAAGATTTTTTTGGTGGTGGGGGTGGGGGACACGACAAATCTTTGGCAATGATCAGAAAAGCCACAGCAGCAGATCAACTATCCCTGGAAAAACACTGGGGATGGGACAGGAAAGCAGAAAGCAATTCCAGGGCAATTGGTCCAGCCAGCTGAGGAACAAAACCCAGGGGAGCCTGAATCCTGCACTCTGACCCATTGGGACTTAGGAGAGCCCAGCTAAGGAAGATGCCACAGTCTTCTTAAAGTCGCAAGAACCAACTAGAGCTGCTTGATTATGGAGCAGTTTGAAAAGTTATTTTGCAAACTCTAGATCAGTTTTCTAATTTTGTTGCACTAATCTTTTCCTGAATGAATAATTAATACATGAAACACACATTTGTGCATCTCTTCTCCAATTAGCATTGTTGCTATTTACTGGCAAAAAAGACTCATGGATAGAAACAGGAACTGGGCCTTCAGGCTTTACTTGAGGGCTCCAGGAATCAGTCTGTGGTCCAGCTAAGAGAGGTAGGCAACAGTGCACCTTGACTCACCCTTTTTGCAAAACAGGGACTCTTCAAGGGGGTACCTGTTGGGGGGAAAATTCACCACATTGTCATACAGTGAAGTTCAGATCACAAACAGGCTCACGTCCTTAACTAAAAAAGGAGATGCCAAACGTATTAAATAAAACTCCTTTTGCTTGACTGGCACTGACGGGTTGTGTGCCCGGGTGTAGACACGCATGCAGTCTACCTGGGTACCCAACCCTAAACCCCTCTCCCATCATGATTCTGATGCTTCAAAGCCCTAACTCAGATGCTCCTAGCTACTTGATGATCCCAGTTGGAAGTAGCTTCTTCTTCTCAATTTCCAAAGTATTTTTCCCTACCCACGCATCTATTTCCATAGACAGAGTGTCATTTAATTAAGAGTGGATGTGTATCATCTCCTTTCCTCAGTCGGTTAATAATCTATAGCGAGCAGAGATGTTGACTGTCTGACCCCACAGTGCTGGGCATTGTACTTGGCATCTACTAAGTGCTCCGTGATATTTGCTGAAAGGTTTAAAGAAGGAAAAAATAAACACTGACCAGGAAGCTCATGAAAGAACTGAGGAGAGGGTTGAATATCTATTTTAGTTTTTAACTAGAGGATGAAAAGCCATGAGCAAGAGGCCATGGGCCTGAGGACCATGGTGTAATCCTCTCTTTTATGATGACTGGGCAGAAAGGTTGGACTTATGAGAACACAGCTCTCAGGCAGGTCCGGATAATAAACTGGATAAAGAAAGAATATCATGGGCATGCCTCCTTTAAATATATTAATTATGAATGCAAATAATCAGTGCATTTCATGATTGCCAAAAACCTCTGTCTTCCTTTTCCTCTGACAACCAGTAACCCATGTCTCAATTCCTTTTCCTCCCAGACATCAATCTGAACATCAGTAAAATCTCACACTCAGAAACCTTTGAAGAGACCCTTTGGGTTTCCATGTGCTTCATATTTTAAATTCGTATGAAATTCCTACTATCTCAGTCCTTCTCTGCCTGAACTTTTCCACTTAAGGGTGATATCCTGATTTTTGCTGCCTCTGTTACCCTCTTTAAATTGACGTTTTAAAATTCGTGGAAAGAAATCTCAGGTTTTGGGATGGGTAATATTCTGCATCTACCAAACTACTGATATTTTGGTCATCATTTCATTTCATAAGTAGCATTTCAGATGAATTGAGCATCAATACATGAAATGCTTCTAACTCACTTTGGCAAATTATCTGAGAGTAGTATAAGAAGAATGCATGATTAGATCTTTAACGAGGCACATTTGGTAACTGCAGAAATCAAAAGCAGCAGCCAAGAGAAAGCATAGACTCTCTTCAGCAGCTACTTTTGCCAAACCTGATAATTACTAAGAATCCAATAATATTGCACTGGGGAGTGCCCCGTGAGTGAACTTAATGAGAAACTCTTCTGAATGTTGGATGAAAATGTGCAATTCCAGTACCTGAGCCAGGAGAGGAATTGGCCTCCTTGCTGTCCAAGTAAGTGCTGCGTGCTATCACTTCATCCATTTCCTGCTCAGAAACCTGATTTTCAGTAGAAAGCACAAATTAGATGGCTTTATTTTTCCCTCCCCCCAATAAAAATAGCTAGGACCAGAGTCAGAGCTAAGTGCTGATAAAGAGGCATATCACAGGGCCAAAGGTCATGACCATTCTCTGAAACCGTGACTCAGGGCATGTAGGCAGGACACTGGGTTATGGATTGCTTCAAGCAGTGCACACAGAACAAGACCTTCAATCGGTGCCCACGTATGTTAAGCAAAACATTCAAGTGCTGTGATTACCAGCAATGTGGCTTATATGTACCTCTCTCTAGAAAACTCACTTCTAATTCTTTTTTTAAACTTCAAGGAATTTTTATCTCTACATAAAACATGTAAAAGTATGTAAGTATAGCATACTCTTCATGTAGATACACTAATTTTTTTTTTTAGATTAGAAAATATAGTGTATTTAAAAAGTAAATTAGAGAGAAAGAAGAGATTCACCTCCTCAAGGTAAGGAAGGGGGCTAAAGACAGGAAACATGGTGACAACCACAGCTCAAAGAGCACATGGTCACACCAGAGTCTAGTAAGGTAATGGCCAGATTCACTAATTTTAACATTTTGGCACATTACACACATGTCCTCTCTACATAACACACTCAAAGAGTTAAAATTTTTTGCTACATCATTTGTAAGTTGCAGACATTATGACCCTTCACCAGTACATATTTTAGCATGTATCTCCTAAAAACAAAGACATTCTCTTAAATAACCATGATACTATTATCAAATTTGGGAAATTTAACATTGATGGCTATTTAATATACATTTCATCCTCCAATTTAGTCAACTGTTCCAATACTGTCCTTTAGAAGTACTACTCAAAGTGTACGCATAGGGTGGAAATAGTTCACAGGAAGTGTGATGTCAGCCTGTGATGAGATAAGGATCTTTCTCCAGAATGCAAATCAGCACACAGCTTTCTTCATCAACAATGTCTTGGCCAGGTGTGGTGGCTCACACCTATAATCCCAGCACTTTGGGAGGCCGAGGTGATAGGATTGCCTGAGCCCATGGGTTTGAGATCAGCCCAAGCAACTTAGTGAGACCTCGTCTCTACAATAAATCAAAAATTTAGCCAGGCATGGTGGCACTTGCCTATAGTTTCAGCTACTTGGAAGGCTGAGTGGAAGGATTGCCTGAGCCCAGCAGGTTGAGGCTGCTGTGTGCCACTCCAACTCAAAAAAAGTGAGACTCTAACTCAAAAACAAACAACAAAAAGACATGTCTTGTGAGGGAAAAAAAAAAAGTCAACTGAAGCAAATGGTGTGTACAGTGATGTAACTGATTCACATTTTGGTACAAGAGCTTCTTGTTGTAGACCTGAGGCAGACTGTCATGGAACAATTTATTTGCATAGTAATGCTTTATTTTAAAAATTGGCTTTGGCAACCCAGAATCTAGTTGTCATATGTCTTTAGTCTCCTTTAATCTGAAACAGTTCCTGAACTTTCCTTTGTCTTTCACGGTACTGATATTTTCGAAGGAACCAGGCTTATCCAAACCCTCAATTAGGATCTATTTGATAGTTTCCTCATGCTTAGATTCAGATTATGCATTTTTTGGCAGAAAAGTTATAAAAATGGTTTCCTTCTCAGTGCATCTAGAGGCACTTGGAGTCCATGTGTCTTATAATGGGTGACGATAACTTTCATTTCTTGATGAGGATGGAATTTGCCAGATTGCATTGGAAGCTTTTGTTTTTAGTCATTAGTGAATAATTTGTGAAGGAACAGTTTGTAAATATCCTGTTCTCTGACATATTTTTACCCCATGGTTTTAGCATCATTGATTACTCTTATCTGGATCAATTATTAGTATGAAGTTTTCAAAATAATGATTTTTATAACTCTTCTATTCTTTTTATATTTATTAATATCATGGCAGACTCATGGATTTTCTTCTCAGTTGTTATTCTTAACTGTCATTATTCATTGGAAGTTTTTTAAAAGCCTGACATATTTTGAAATGTATATTTTTAAAAATAATAAGAAAACTTAGAGTTCCTTTTATAAAGGTAAGACTATTTTAAACTTAGAGTGGTAATCTTGTGTACTAAACTAATATTTAGCATAAGGAATATTTGGGTAAGCATAGCAATCTGTCTTAAGCAAATAAATATTTCTATACAAGAGTCAGTCTTGCATCTTAATATAACACATAAATCATAATCACATCATGACCTTTATGTAATACTTTATATACACATAAACAGGCATATACATTTACACACACACACACACACCCCTCCACAAGGTAAAGAATAATTGTGTATAAATGAGCCAGGGAAAACATCAGCTTAAAACAGTGGTTGCTATTTTTCTTGATACTAGACTTTCAATGTTCGCAATTGTTTTTCTAAGTAGGAGAAAAATGGAGTTCTGTTACTTTCTTCTACTTAACATGAGCTAAAAGTTGCTATTCCAGCAGGCCCAAATCGCAGCCTGACTAGACCTGGAAGGTTTAAATAGCCCGGTTGGGCAGCCACTGCTCCAGACGTTATGAGAAACAGAAGAAAAGAAATCCTTGTGGTGTTTCTTTTGGAACAACAAGAAAACTAAGCAAGCACATACATTCAGTATCAAAATGTACTATTGGCATGAAAAGCTGGGCTAAGTGGTACAAAAATACATTAAACATAAAATAGAACCTTGACCCAAAGAAAAACAGAGTATGATGTTACAAATAAGCACACCATGTTTATCTAGGAAGAAATGTGAAATCCCGTCAAACAGATGCTGAAATTTGGTTTTGCTGGACATAGCGCCAACATGATCACAGAAGAAACCATTCTTCTGTGGCTAGAAACATGGATCTACCTGCGTGTGCAACAGGGTCACAGCCCACCAGGATTAGGATGGTTTGCACTGAAATGCCATTTAGATGCTTGATTGTATTGGCAAAATAGGCATAGATTTTTGGGCTGAGATGAACTAGACCTCTGAACAAATCACGACCCATGTTATGCTGGAAAGGATTTTGAAGGCAGACATGCCTTGAAGCCAGTGACTGCAAACCACTGAAAACTTAACTCTCTCTAATGTTGCTGAGGGAGGTATTAGGTCAGCCACAGCTTGCTGGAGGGCTTCTGAAGTGAAGGGAGGTGCTATGGGAGGGTCGAGGCCCAGCAGAGACTCTGGAGGAAGGAGCTGGGAACTTTTCTAGTTGTAACCTTCAGGCAAAATGTTGTTAAAAGTGACCCAAGAGCCTGGGGGACAGCAGTAGAACAAAGTAGAATAGATCCTAAGAGAAGGTATCAGGACTACAGAACAGAAAGGAGAAAAATGGGATGTGACAAGTGAGAAAAAATGCAAAAAGGTGGAAGCAGGGACTTATTTTATATTAATGATATTCAAAATTATTTTATGTAAGACATTTCTGAGAATGCACACAGATAAGAGAAAGGAATGTGAAAAAAGTGGTGGAGTTCACTCTGAATCAGTCTGATGGCGATCTTTGTCCAAGTACTGTTGCTGATGTCACATCCTAGATCAAGACATAGAGTCATGGCTCGGTGGCACTTGTTTGTACTGGGATTACAGTACAACAAATGAACATGACAAAGAGTCTAAAATCGATACCATTAAGAAACCTCAAGGCCAGGCATGGTGGCTCATGTCTGTAATCACAGCACTTTGGGAGGCCGAGGTGTGAGAATTGTTTGAGCCTAGGAGTTCAAGACCAGGTTGGGCAACATAGTGGGACTCTGTCTCTATAAAAGTAGAAATAAAAAATTTAGCCAGCTGTGGTAGTGTGTAACTGTAGTCCCAACGACTTGGGAGGCTGAGGCAACAGGATCACTTGAGCCCAGGAAGTAGGGACTGTGGTGAGCTGAAATCACATCACTGCACTCCAGCCTGGGCAACAGACTGAGACAGGAGAGAAGGAAAGGAGGGAGGGAAGGCGGGAGAGAGGAAGGAAGGAAAACAGCCTGGGAACATTCAGGATATAATTAAATAATACAAAAGGTGTGGCCACAGAACAGGCATGGGTAAGAGCTATGTTCTTAGTGAGCATTTTGGGAAAGGTTAAATTTTGTTAAACACAACTTGATCACAATGTTAGGGATAAGCTCATTTTAAAAGACTTTTACATTGAGTACTGAAAACAACAAAAAATAGGGCTCAACAAGGGTTGTTTTCCCATGTGCATTAAAAAAAAAAAAAAAGTGGGCTGGGCACAGTGGCTCATGCCTGTAATCCCAAGAGTTTGGGAAACTTAGGTGGGAGGATCGCTTGAGGCCAGTCTAGGCAACACAGAGAGACCCTGTCTCTGTGATATTAAAAAGGAAAATTAAAAAAAAAGTGGGTTGACTTGAACTTGCTGAAATGTCCTGTGATTAGCTTCCAAAAATTAAAGGCAACTCTATGAGCAAATAACAGCAAAGACCAATAGTTCAGGGAGTATGAGAATCTCCAAGTTCAGTATGGGTCAAGAGTGTGACACTGGTGCTGACAAAAAAAATTGTCGGTTCTTAGGCCTTAATTACAGTACTATTCTGCTCAGGTCAAGGACAGCTTAGACGGAAGAGGACCAAGTCTTTGAGCTGGGTCTCGTCCTTCATCTAACAACAGTAATGTCCTCACACTAACAAAATGGTTAACACTTTTGGGGTCATGAATGACTAAGAGTTTGACACAAGCTATTGACTTCATCCACAAATGCAAATATACCCCAAATTTGTGTAATTCATAAAGTCCCTATAAGGACTTCAAGTGAAGGACCTCTTCAGGTTAGGTTGTAAATTTTAGAGATACGTATTTATCATGTAGCCCTGGTATGTTGACATTGTCTGACACCCACTAGAAACTCGATAAATGTTGAGGTAATGAAATTACTATAGGACAAGTATTGATCTGAACCATATAGTCTAGAGGGAGACAGGGAAGGACAGGCCCTCTGTTCCATTCTCTCAATGCCTGGAAGCCTGCCTGTTTGACAACATCCGTATTTATCCCAAATTCCCCACAGGGCCTCCTCATGGAGCCTCCGACTCTTTTGTTCAGTACCAGGTTCATATGGGCTTGGCGGTACCTATGGCTGAGCTGCCAGCCTTAGACTTGAAGAATCCTCCCTCCCTACTGAGTAAAACGTGTGAGTAAGAAAAGGTTATTTCACGGTTTATCCTCAACAGAAGATTCCACGGGTATCCTCACAGCCAGAAGATGGGATGAACTGCAGTGGTTTGGGATGTCCCATTAGCTCGAGCAAGATGCCATGTAGTTTCTCTTCTCTCCGATGGAACCCACCACATTAGATAAGCCAAGAAAGAACTCCCACTTTCAAAACGTGTCTTTAGCAGAACAAGCAAAACCAGTATTGGAAAATGTGAACGTAAGCTAAATGTCACGGCTGGAAGAATTTCACTATGTATTTATGCTGTTTAGGTAGATTCAAGAACATTTGTGTGAGCACTTAATGGAAAAGATTCTAGCATAAATTTAAAAATTTAGTCTATTAGACAGAAAAACAGGATCCTCCACAGTTCTGAATAAACTTAACAAGTAACTTCTCCATCATCGTTTATTTGAAATGCTGGGCTTTGTTTTCCCCCTCAACTTTGATGGAAGCAAAATTCACAAAGTGACAATTGCAAATAAGCAATTAGTTTATCAAGCCAGATTTCATCTCATTTTCATATATTTAAATTGTGTGAGATAGTCATTTGATAAGATAGTTTTTTTTTTTTGACCCAATGAAAAATTAAATGAAACTTTGGAAGGAAATATTCCTCTTCAAATTTGAAGACAAGCCAGGCTTGGTGGCTCAGTCTGTAATCCTGCACCTTTGGGAGGCTGAGGTGAGTGGATTGCCTGAGCCTGCGGGTTCGAGACCCGTCTGGGCAGCGAGACCTCATCTCTACAATAAATAACAAAAATCAGCCGGGCGTGGTAGCACGTGCCTGTAATTCCAGCTACTCGGAAGGCTGAGGCGGAAGGATCGCTGGAGCCCAGCGTGTCGAGGCTGTGGTGGCTGGAAGCGGCCACTGCACTCCAGTCTGGGTGACAGAGTGAGACTCCAACTCAAAAAAAAAAAAAAATGAAGACATTGATTTTTCCTTGAAGAGTATCTGAAAAACCTTGCATTCTAGAAATTCTATAAAAATGCAAAAACAGTCATTGGTTTAAGTGAATCCAAGTTAAAGTTAGATTCTAAATAGTTATCTTAACAATGATTATAAAAATTTATTTTACACTATTTCAATCTAGGCACATTCTCATTTCTTACTTAAAGAAAGTTTAAAATTCACTAAACCTGTTTAAAAAATTACTTAGCACTGCTGGGCGCAGTGGCTCACGCATGTAATCCCAGCACTTTGGGAGGTAGAGGCGAGAGGACTGCCTGAGCCCAGGGGTTCAAGACCAGCCTGGGCAACTAGGTGAGACCACATCTCTACAATAAATTAAAAAAAAATTAGTTGGGCACAATGGTGCGCACCTGTGTTTCCAGCTACTTGGAAGGCTGAGGGGGAAGGATCACCCGAGCCCAGCAGGTTGAAGCTGTGGTGGCCGTGAGCATGCCATTGCACTCTAGCCTGGATGACAAGGAATTCCTAATGTGGGCAAACAAAAGATTGTGGTAAGAAAAATTTATTTATTTATTTATTTTTGAGTTGAAGGTCTCACTCTGTTGCCTGAGCTGGAAAGCAGTAGCAGAACACGGCTTACCACAGCCTCAACCTACTGGGCTCAAGAGATCCTCCTGCCTCAGCCTCCCAAGTAGCTGGGACTACAGATGTGCATACTACCTACCACCCCTGGCTAATTTTTTTCTTTCTTTCTTTCTTTTTTTTTTTTTTGCCTAGACGGGTCTCCAGCAATCCTCCTGTCCTGGTTGGGATGACAGGAATGAGCTACTTTTCCCCACCTGGCAAGAAAAGCTTTCTTATCTTGAAACTGAAAGAGTTATAGAGATTATCTAGGCCAAATACAGAAGTTAGGTATCTTACCAGACATCAAACAGCCAGTATTCAGAACTCAGCATTCCTACCTTCTACGAGACCAAATTTCAAATCTGCCAAGCAACACTGTCAAACTTTTCTAATAAAATTTTCTGAGAGTGAGAGAGGAAGTCAAGATCAAAGATTCATTTCCCACATGTACCAGCCAGAGGCCGGGTGAACCAAAGAGACTGTGTCGTCCTAGGGATGTGTAGCATCTTGCCATGCTCAGAACAGGATGAAATACTTTACCTTTGGATTAGGGTGTCGACCGATGACAAGGCGAACAGGTCCTGGAGGGCATTTGCTCAAAATGGCATGGACCTTGCTTAAAGCAGCATAGCGGACATTGATTGAGTTTACTTCCAGGATTTGATCTCCACGGCTAGGAAGGGCAACAGAATTCACACTCTGTATTAGCAGCAGGCTTCTTACAAGCTCAAAAACTTCACTTCTAGGAGAGGTTTACATAAAAAAATCTTTTCTGAATACTTCAAAGAAGTACATGACAAAGTAACACAGTCATATAATCACATTAGATTTTAAGTTGTCAAAGGCCATTATGTCCATCTACTGGTATTTTCAGAAGTAGTAAAGTCAAATAAAATTGATAAGAAGGACAACAATAAAGGCTATCATTTCTTGAGCACATACTATATGCCAGGCACTGTACAAAGTAATCTACATAACAATGCTTTGAGTGGGTCTAATTATTCATATGCTGTAGATAAGGCCACAGGCTCAGAGAGGCTGCTCAGATGTCACACACTGTTGAAATAACACAGGTCTCTCTGATTCTCAGTCATCACGTGATATAGCCTCTCGACCACCATCAGTTTCTTTCTTCCTACCATCTTGAAATGATTATTGGAATATAACTTAAGGAGGAAATATCTGAAGCTCAAAGGTTACCTAAGAATTTGTAAAAATGTTTCAAATTTGAACAAATGAGAAATTGGGGACAAGTTGCCCATTTTGACTTGAAATTATAGGGAGAAAACTCAGTAGGAGAGAACAAAGACTCTTTATATGGGGTTTGAAGAATGTTCATTTGGCAGGCTCCAGACATATGGAACCATTCAAGAAAGAAACATCATCTTGGGATGTCATTAAAGGATTTTTTTCCTTGGGTTCTAAAGTATATTTTCTTTAATGTACTTTGGATGATTTGCTAAATTTTTTTTCAAATGGAAATTCACTCTGATGATTAACTAAAAACATAATATAAGCTATTAACAGAGCCCCAAAATGGCAACCTCAACAAATGCCATTTTGACAAATCCTCAACCACTAAAGGACTTAGAGAAGCTTATAGAGGAGAAAGGTGATACTGTTTGGATAGGGTGCTTTATGCAATATGTGTACATTCTTGTGACGTGTAGGTGGGCACTGACCCACTGCAATTGCTATTTAATAGAACACTTAGACATCTCTTGTATAAACAGAACATCCATACTATGGCTCAACTATCTGGCTTAAGAAATCAGACAGTGATTTCAGAAAATAGGCACCTAGACATCACCATTCAAAAAGGAATGGAAGGAATAGAAAAGGTTCAAGAGATAATACATAAAAGAAAGTTCTCTCATTCAAGGGCACAATTTCAGGACTCTTTTGTATCCAGTGATTCCAAACTTTTATGACAGTCCCAGTATTTCATATGAATTTTACATATATGAATATAAAATGAAAGAAAACATTGAGATAATCATAGATGTCCATATAGAGTTTATGTATCTTGTCAAGCATCTGAAATGAAACTTCTGAGTCCAAATAGAACAAAAGCCAAGACCTGGAATTCTCTAATTCAACCAAATTTCATTTATATTAGCATTTACATTTTTGAAGATGCTGTTGACTGTAGTCTTGGTTATATAATTGGAACTAATTCAAAGTTTTAGCATCCCTCAAAGGAAAGCAACAGATCAGGAATCATCAGGAACACGCCAGAATCTTACACTATCAGATATGCAACAAACCTCAGGTTGCTCTCCATCTTGGCCACTGATCCTGGGGCAAGGCTGTGAATGTAGATGCCTGGAGGGCTGTTTTCTAGAGCCAAGCAGCAGGCACCAATGCCTAATCCAACTCTTGGCTCTGTCAGAGGCATCATTCAAAGAAAACAAAAACAAAAATTACACAGTAACCAGACAAAAAAGTATAATTGATCAGGAACTGGATTAACATATATTCATACCAATAACCATTTACTTTTCTTCCAGACTCAGAAAGCAAATTCTACTTTTCTTTCTCAACATTGCCATTTCTTTTCATGAAACGAGTCCATGGCTAAACTGGGGCCTAACTATGGACCTGTGAATTATCCAGTGATCGTCTTTCTGCTTAGTCTAGCAAACTTCCTCAAACCTGTGTTTGGCAATAGGCAGAGTATGAGTAACATTTTTATTCTGGATATACAACGTTAAGCTTTCTTTTGCCTCTCTTTTTAGCAACTAATCTCTTGGTTATTTTTCATCACATTTCTACAGTAGGTGGGGAGGTAAAAAAAAAAAAGATGAAAAGCAGTAAGATTTGATGATCACCCATGACCAGTATTAACCGTATTCTTAACTATGATCTTTTGTTCACTAAAATTTATAATAAACTTAGACTTAAGCTCGTCAGAGATTTTTAAAAATAAGAGTTTCTGACACACAGTGATTCATCTTGGGAGAGCTCAGAGAGTTCTGTGCTACTGGCACCTTCCCCTCACTTTGACTAAAGCAACTAAAATCTCTGCTTTTGATTCCACTGTCCACATAGAGAACATCACCTGTTGTTGATAGAAGATTGTTCCAAAGAAATAATTCATAGAAAACCGAGAAGAAAAGAAAAAATACTCCTCCAAACAGATTACAAATTGTTATTCGAGAAAGGTATCGAAAGTGAGGAACAGCCGGTATCACCTTTGTGGAGTGTTACTTCCATGACAATCCTGTCCTTGGGCCCAGGAGTCTTCCGACCAAGGGATGAAGAGCTGCCTTCATCGGAGCCTCCCACTGGGGCTCCCCCACCGGTGTTGAAGTTCGGGGAGCTGGATCGGTTCACGTGTGTGGGTGTTGAGCAGGGCGTGAGGCTGGGGCTCAGTAACTTTGTGCGTACCGTTAAGACAAATAAGCCACTCCGGATTTGCTGAGAAAACAAGGGAAGACGGTGGGCTAAAACATTCATACTGTCCTTATATCAAAGGGTAAAGGAATCTCACCCAACCCAAGCTGGAAAGAAATAAAGGAAGGAAAACAAAAAGGGCAAAGGAGATCCATAAGAATGTTGTTACCTTAAAGGTATGAATGGCTTCTTGAAACGTCAAGCCCTTTATTGGTATTCCATTTACATCTAGGATTTCATCCCCTAGTGATCAAATGTGAGAATTACATTAACATTAACCTTTAATGTTCTGGACTCTTAACTGTTGTCAGTCCTAAAATAGGATGCCATCTGGTCCCTGATTTACAACTCTAAAATGACTTTGACAACAAGGGTACCTGCATAGTGAACATTTGTATACCTAACCCTGAATTGTACCCCACATCTTTAAAATAAACATTTTTTTAAAAGATCTAAAAAAAAATGACTGATTATTCCAATCTACTTTCATTAGCTTAACTCTCAGGAACGTCACAAATAGGACAATTAATGACAATGCATCTTCTTTTGCAGTAATTTTGTATTTCTGTCTTCAATTAAAACAACTATGGGAAGCACCAAAATCTTATTTTTTAGCCACTGCCAAGTTTGACAACAGATGTCCTATGTTTAGAAATCAAACTACAGAAACCGAGTTCCCAGGCGTTCCTCATAATCATTGTTTAAAAGCTTAAGCCCACGGGCAATGAAGCATGAACACACACAACATCTGAGAAGCCACTCCTATATTTGCAGAAAGACGAGCTCCCCAGAGCCCAGAGAATCACTCCAAGTGTATGGAAAATGGTTTTAATGATAAAGACAAAAAAACTTGCTGAGATATTTGAGAAATGGCAGCCCCACCTCCAGAAATAGCCTGAATGCCTGGTCTTATTGATGTGGTTCCAGGTTCTCTGTCATGAAGCTGGCAAGTTACTATAGGCTTCTATCACAGAGATGACAGCAGGGTCATGTCAAATAGTGATGCATGTGTGTGCACAAGCTCGCTCAACTCCTCCCGGCCCCTCACCAGCTAGCCTATCATCTTCAGCCTTAAGAAGGTGCAGTCAGGTCATTGTTCAAGCTGTCGGTAGTGTCTGCTGGGAATACAAAAGAACTTGGACATCCTGTTGACTTATCAGTGCTCGTTTCTGGTTTGCACTCTTGTGACATGGGCTGTATTTCGGAATAACAGTTCATCACAAACACTATAAAGATGCCCCAGAGAGAAGAACAGATGAACTTTGCACAGCAGTGCAGTATGAAAGGGAGACGTCATACACCTGTAACAAAGTGTAAAACAGTGTAAGAGCACAGATTTCCACCTCTTATAGACAGCCAGTCCCAGGAGCACAGTGTGTGTGTGATTAAAGGAATTCTATAGATGACTTTTGTTCTGTTTCTTCACTTTAATGCAATTGCAAAAGTTGTAAAATAAGTGAAGGGACCTCTGTTTAAAAATCACTTGGAATAGCCAGGTGAGGAGGTTTATGTTTTGGGGTTGTTTCCACAGGGAAAAAGAAGCAAATATTACATGATTGCTCACATTCTTAAAATGTATACAAAGTTTTTAAAAGAGGTATCACTCAACAGGTTGAAAAATCCATTCCAGTGACTTATATCTCTTGTAAATGAACACATATGAAAAAAACAGTATTTAGGAGAACAAAGTGCTATTAACCTTTCCTAACTATTGGTTTTTTTTCCCATCTTGCTCAGTTTTACAGCCTTGCAGGATGAATTTCAATCAAGTGAACACATGGCACATCCATTACAAAAATGCTCTGCTAGAATTTTATATTGTTCTGAAAGGCGACATGAACACCACCTGGGAGTTAACCCTTCCTCTAAGAGAGAGATAAATATTCCGTCATGGAAATATTAAGCCTGGTCACATTTTACCATTAGAATACAGGCTTCTATAGGTTGTTCTGTTTACAAAATAGGCAATTCACTCTTATTGGCTTAAAAAAAAAAAGTATAACAGCACCTGTATTTCAGTCAACTGAACTGAGTTACAGCATTTTTTAAGATAACTAAAAATATTCTAACTTAGTCATTTCATGAAGGGAATGTTAATAAGGGAAGGAGAAAAACCAGAATTTATGCTTTGGTGAGTGCTATTTAAAATATGTTCAGAACTTGTTGGCAATTTTACTTTATAAAAAGTATAGCCGGGCTCGGTGACTCAGCCTGTAATCCCGCGCCTTTGGGAGGCTGAGGTGAGTAGATTGCCTGAGCCCGCGGGTTCGAGACCCGCCTGGGCAGTGAGACCTCATCTCTACAATACAGTCAAAAAATCAGCCGGGCATGGTAGCACATGTCTGTAATTCCGGCTACTTGGAAGGTTGAGGTGGAAGGATCACCGGAGCCCAGCACGTCGAGGCTGCAGTGGCCGGGAGCGGCCACTGCACTCCAGTCTGGGTGACAGAGTGAGACTCCAACTCAAAAAAAAAAAAAAAAAAAGTATATAATCTTGGCTGGGAGTAGTGGTTCAAGCCTGTAATCCCAGCACTTTGGGTGGCCGAGGTGAGGAGACTGCCTGAGTCCACGGGTTTGAGAACAGCCCGGGCAACTTCGTGAGACTTCATCTCTAAAATAAATCCAAAAATTAGCTGGGCACGGGAGCATGCGCCTATAGTTCCAGCTACTTGGAAGGCTGAGGCAGAAGAATCACCTGTGCCCAGCAGGTTGATACTGGGGTGGCCATCAGTGTGCCACTGCACTCCAGCCTGGGCGACGGAGTGAGACTCCAACTCAAAAAAAAAAAAAAATGTATATAATCTTAAGCCAGATAAATATTTATAGAGAACACTCATATATGCAAACATATACTTAAGATTCTCTGTATTAAAAGCAGCTACTGTGTCTACACATAAAGGAAATTTTGGCCTATTCAAATTTTATTTTCTCAAGTATCATGATATGTTCAAAAAGGAAGAAAGTTCTGAATCAATGATCATGTATTTAAAGAAGGCAGTAGTAGTAAGGCAGAGAGGTGACCCAAACTTGGGCTCACAGAGCTAGGTTTAAATTTCACCTCTGCTAATTACTGAGGGTGGGACAAGTTTCTAGTCACTTAACATTTCTGAGTGTCATTTTGCTCATTTGTAAAATGGTTACTCCAAAATGCCTACTTGACAGGTTTGTAACGCAATTAATGAAATAATTTAAATATGGAGAAATGCTTTGAAAATGCTTAAAGCACTACAAATTATAAGATGTATTTAAACATTAAAAAATTTTTATTTGCAAAGTAGAACTTGGCACCTCAAAATTACTTTAATTTGCATTTAAAAGCACTTGTCTCATATATTTGTATGTGGCAAAATGGCAGAGGTTACAGGCAATGTAAAAGATGTTCATTTAGGAACCAAACTATGTGGTAATTGATTTCAACCACAAGATACTAAATGTCTATTGATGATCAGTTATTCTTCTTCCATAGCAAGGATGGGCTGGAAACTCTCAAGAATTTTCAAGACAGGGAACATGATTAAGGACCAAGTGGACAAAATAGACACTTAAAGACCAAAACAAGAATATCAAGCTACTTTCCACATATTATCCTATTTAGCCATCTCATTTCTATCTCATTTAACCCTCAGCTGCTCTTCAAGGTAGGCATTAATATTCCATGCTTCTATTCCAGAAAAAGTAAAGCTCTGACAGGTCACATCAACTGTGCAAGGTCATAGTGTATAACCATTTGATTCAGCCCAGGTCTACTCAACTCCCCAGCCCGTAGCCTTAGCTAACATTCCATTTGCTTTACATCCTGCAAAGCAGCAGCTTCTCATGGAACCAAAGGTCACTGCCAGAAGAAAGAAGAAGCTTTCTTCTACCTTCTTTAAGTCTTCCATCCTCCGCAGCTGATCCATTTGGGAAGATGGTCTTGACAAAAATCCCCATCTGTCCACGAATGCAGTCTCGACCCCCAGCAATGCTAAAGCCAAGACCCTATATTCAAAGAAGATGAGAGTCAAAGTTGACATTGCAGTATTTAACTGGGGTCATCTTCCTATTGCAGTATTTACTTAACTGAGGGTGTCCTTCCCATCATAGGATTTAGCAGAAGCGTCCTTCCTAAGAAAGCTTGTAGTTAAATGAATCAATTAGCTGTAAACCCAAGTTTGTGTTCCCTTCCCCATTTCCCTCTTCAGATCTATTTGGGTTGCACTAGTCAAGTATTACATTAAAAAGAGAAAGTTTTAGGTTGAAACATACACAAATGCCAATATTTGACAATCTTTGATCTCCAAAAATGTCAATCTCATATGGATCAACTAAATAGTTCATAAGTCATTTCCCACTATTCAGATGCTATATTTGTTTTTTCAGTTTAAGTCTTTCCATTTTGATATTTGCATAATATGAAGTTAATAATATCATTCCCTTTATGATAATGGCAATGACATGAAATTCACTCAAAAAGATAGCTAGGAGTATTCCCTGAAGCTGCAGGTTCTGTTTTTCTTTCGATAGAGCTAAAAGTTGGGGGTCATTCACTCCACCCTCGATTCTTTTTTTTTTGTCAGAGTCTCCCTGTCACCCAGGCTGAAGTGCAGTAGGCACGCTCATGGCCACCACAGTCTCGATCTGTTGGGTTCAGGCTTCTACCTCAGCCTTCCAAATAGCTGGAACTACAGGTGTGTACCACCACACCTGGATAACTTTTAAACATTTATTGTAGAGATGAGATCTTGGCATGTTGCCCAGGTTGGTCTTGAACCCATGGGCTCAGGCAATCCTCTCGCCTCAGCCTCCCAAAGTGCTAGGATTACAGGCGTGAGTCACCATACCCAGCCTACACCCTCGATGCTGTCCTAGCAGCCAGGTGCTGGGGACTCCTCACTTCGGGAGATCAAAGAGGGTGTGACTATCTCACACTCCGAGGCCTACAGGAAAAAAATGCCACCTGAATCCATACAAAGGCCACTCAAGTTATCCCTCTTTATACCTGTTACTTCTTATTTCATGTAAAAACAGATAAAAAATAATAATAATAAAAAAGAAAAACAAAGTAACCATTTAAACAGGATGTGCTAACATTCACCTGGAAGGAAGAACAGTCTGCAAAAAAGAGCTCACCTTGCCTTTCTGTTTATACAACCCGATGATAGAGATGACGGATGGCCGGATGAGTCTCCAAGGAGATTCCACCTGCGTCGTGCTTAAGGAGCGAGTGGACTTCTTCACAATGTGGTATTCCTAAAGGTTAGCACACAGCGAGGTCAGAGGTAGTCTCATTGATTCTTTTGTGGTCTCTGGTATAAAACATACTCAGACTTTGAAAATCTCAGCTGTCTTTTGGGTTAGTCATTTCCCTCTGGTCCATCTTGGTCCAGTGGCTTAAAGAAAAGGTTACTCTAAATAACATTGGAGGAACAGCCCCTACTGCAATAGATTGCCATGTCTTATTCCCCCATGCAAGGAACTACTTGGAGACCACAAGCACTGTAGCTCTTTCCTTGACCGCATTCCATAGATCCTACTTCTGGAATGGAGTCAGGGACCAGAAACCAGAGGCCTCAGTGATGTAGGATGACCTCCCTGGGGTTGGGCTCTCCTGTGCTAGTCACCTCCTGCCCATCCCAAGTTCATAATCATGGTTAGAGAGTATCTCACCATTTTAAGCTTAATTCACTCAATCAAAAACTCAGCAAACCCTTGTTTCTTATAAAACCCAAACCACAAACCCAGACAAGCGTTATTCCACATAAAATATCCCACTGAGAGATGGCAACAGCTTCAGTTCTAATCCCTCACATTTGGAGAATAAAATATTTTCCCATAAGCCACACTTTCCCTTCCTGACACACAGCAGCTCAAATCTCAATCCCTTTTTCATGTCCATCACCCACAGTACACACGTGTGTAAGCAGGGTGCACTCTTCATAACATAAACAAGAGATTAAGTGACTCTATTACTAAAACACTTCTACAATCCAGCTCCTTGCTATTCTTCTTAGAATAATAAACTTCTTAAGTCATGCAGATATTCTAGCATAAGCCAAAAAAAATCACTTTATGTTTAATGTGAGAAAAGACATCACAAAAGTTTTTATCCTTAGTTTGTATATACTACATTCAAACATAGAAATGAGATGTCCCCCAGTGATATTTTTATATTTCTGGCAGCTTAGAACAATTATATTTATTTTGAAGTTTTACAAAAATATCTGCCAACAAAGTTGGCCTCCCAGACTCTGAATCATTAAAAAAAAAAAATGATGTGGGCTTGGCAAGGTTACTACCCTTTTACTGAAACCATTACAGACATGACCAGACATAGCCAGGGTTTCAACCTATGAATACAGAGGTTCATGCATGAACTCCTAAGGGAGCTCCTTCTGATCCCCAATCTTCAGCAGTTCCTCATTCCGTCTTCCTTCTGGGGACAGTGGGAGCAAAGGCCTGCATGCCTCACTGGTCTCTCAAAGAGGTTCAGATGTCACCTTGAACCTCCTGTACCCATGCTGTCTAATCTGGTTAGCCACTTGCCAACTGTGGCTGTCTACATTTACATTAAGATTAAAATTAAAATTACTCTTGACTGGGCCCGGTGGCTCATGCCTATAACCCTAGCACTTTGGGAGGCCAAGGAGAGAGGATTGTCTAAGCCCAGAGGTTCGAGACCAGCCTGGAAAACTTGGCAAGACCTCATCTCTACAATAAATCAAAAAATTGGCTGGGGGTGGTGATACGTGCCTGTAGTTTCAGCTATTTGGAAGGCTGAGGTGGAAGGATCACCAGCAGGTCGAGGCTGCGATGGCCATGAGCGTGCCACTGCATTCCAGCCTGGGTGGCAGAGTGAGACTTCGACTCAAATAATAATAATGATGATGATAATAATAATAATAATACTCCTCTCCTCACTAGTCACTCTTCCGGTGCTCCATAGACACATGCGGCTACCATATTGGACAGTGTAGATGTGAAAAGGTGCAGTGGCTCACACCTGTAATCCCAGCACTTTAGGTGGCTGAGTAGGGAGAATTGCTTGAGCCTAGGAGTTTGAGACCAACCTGGGCAACCTAGGAAAAATTTGTCTCGGCAAAAATAAAAAAAATTGAGCCAAGCATGGTGGTTTGTGCCTATAGTCCCTGCTACTTGGGAGACTAAGGTGGAAGGATTGCCTGAGCCCAGGAGGTTGAGTGACAGTGGTGAGCTGTGATTGTGCCACTGTCCTCCAGTCTGAGTGACAGAGTGAGACTCTGACAAAAACAAAACAAAACAAAACAAAAACCCCAAAACAAAAAACCAAACCAATGTGTAAGAAATGTAAATCCTGAGAGAAAAAGAAAAGGAAAGAAAATAAGAAGAGAAGACAAAAGAAAGGACAATTTAGAGCAGGAAAAACTCTTTTTAAAACTTTCTACCTTAGTTTGGACTTCCTGATTCCTGGAAACCTGGTTAGAAATAGATGTTTCTTGGCTATAAATATGGTCAGGTTTCCTCAGCAGGTCAGTTAAGAAATTACCTCAATGCTAGATCTGTGGCCATGATGGCAGTAGACCCTCTCTATCATCTTTTACACTAGTTAAAACAGTCTGACAATTGGGCTACCCTACAACATTTGGAACTCTCCTGACACTGTGGGTCCAGCTGGACTATTCTGAGAAGGTCACAGATCTGTCTTTAATCCTGGGTCTGGATGAGTTTTTTTTTTTCTTGAATTGGTGTCTTACTCTGTTGCCTAGGCTGGAATGCAGTGGCACGCTGCTCACGGTCACCGCAGTCTCAACCTGCTGGGCTCAGGTGATCCTTTTGCCTCAGCCTTCCAAATAGCTAGAACTACAGACGCATGCCACCATGCCCGGCTATTTTTATTTTTTATCGTAGAGACGAGATCTTGTCAAGTTGCCCAGGCTGGTCTTGAACCCCTGGATTCAGGTAATCCTCTCACCTTGGTCTCCCAAAGTGCTGGGATTACAGACTTGAGCAATCGCATCTGGCCTGGATGAGTTTTTAACAGGTTCCATGCATTTTTTTTTTTTTTAGAGGTTGGATCTCACTTTATTACACAGGCTGGTCTTGAACTCTTAGGCTGAAAGGATCTTTCTGTCTCAGCCTCCCAAGTAGCTGGGACTACAGGTGTGTTCCACTGTACCCGGCTAGCCATGAAATATTATCCTCTGTTTTTTCTCAGTGCTCCAACTCCCTTCAAGTTACCTTTGGGTGAACTCAACCCAAAACAGCCTGACCAGCAACTGCCTCGAAAACACAGGCACTTTTACATTCCTGGTTGGGCAAAGAGCATCAGCAGCAACACAAACACTTTCTCCTGACACATAATCAACCAGATTCATGTATTTGTCTTCATGGAGATTCTGGCATATCACCTTCAGCAAAATATTTAACATCATTGGGATTCAGCTGCCCCATCTGTCAATGGTCACAACATACCAAAAATGAGGGCCTGGCCCAGATCCTTTAGAACTCCCCTGTCTATGGGTCTCTAAGCACTTTTGGATGTCACAGTTTCTTCTTCTCTCTTCTTCATCGTAGGCCTAAGGATAATATACTAATAGTTCGCCTTGGCACTCTCTGCCTGGTAGTACCAGGACTCAGAGAACATCCCTCAAGTTCCCCAGAAACTAGGCCTGCCTCCAACCTGGTTATAACTGTCTACCCAGTTTCTGTGGGTGGAGGATGCTATGACCGAGGAGGAAGCCCTGGGCAGAGCTGTGGAGCCCAGAGCTCTGCTGGGAGCAGGCTCTGGAACATTAACTTGATCACTTTTGGCATCCCTCCCTACAGCCCCCCATGACCATAGCTGTTTGCGTTGTTACTGTGTAACAGGTAGGTCCCCAGTTGAGTATAGGTGTGTGCGTGCATGCACACACACACCCTCTTCTTCCACACACATGCCTACACCCACCCACACAGTTGTTATGCTGACATATGATGCTCCTATTCAACAAGCAATGGTGGTTCACCACAGACTGTGAGATGCCATTGTCTCCTGGCAATTGAAAGTTATTCTGGGTTCCAAAACACACAGTCGGAAGGGAATCAAGATGTCAAAAGCCAACAAGGGATTTGTTTTCCTATTATTTTCAAATATTGGGCTGACTTCTTTCTAGCCTCTCTGGGTAGCCTTCCCTTTCTATGTCACATCTCTCTAGATTCTCTCTCTCGCCCCGGATACTCCCAGCCTGAACAGATGGGCAGTTCTTAACATGGAAGCTCTCATGGTCTTTGCAAAAACAGAAAAAGGCCTAGAGACTCGGGGGTTGGAAGCATGCTTTTCTGTCCCTAACCAAGCTGCAATGATTGTGCATGAAAGAGGCTCTGTGGCCCTAGACGGACCTGCGAGGCACCAGAAGAGTCCAGCAGCTGGGGGAGGGAGTGCTTCCGGCCATCGCGGGAGACCTCCAACATCCGGGCTCGAGGGTCCCCATTCCGCAACATCAGCTCGTTATATTCTTCCACAGACTCTAGGCGGTGGACACCCCCTTAGGAAGAAAGGGGAAAAAACATGGGTTGATACGCGATGATAAGAATCTTAAGCACATCCGCAGGTACAAATTTGTTACGTTTATACCCACCTTTGTGGCTTTCAGAAGGCCTAGCGCCCAATACACTCAAAGCATCAAGCTCACCACATTTCACCACCGAGCTGGTTATGTGTTGAGGCCATTAATGCCAGGCTGCAAAACACTGCCAGTTTTTGAAATGATCAGGCTGGTTAAGAGGCAACGTATATGTTAGATTCAAGTAAGATGTAGCAGTTGTGACTATAAGGCATTCTATAGCGGGAAGGCTATCAGTAGAAGGCTTTTTAGTGATGGAGGAATATCACTCTGAGGTTGGTATAGTTTCATTGTTGGGGTAGATGCTTTTTTTTTTCATGTACAGTAATAACTTTTAAAATATACTTTCTATTCAAGTCTAACAACTTGCTGGTGTGGTGGCTCACACCTATAATCCCAGCAATTTGGGAGGCCAAGACAGAAGAAGTGCTTGAGCCCAGGAGTTTGAGCCTGGTTAACAGAACAAGACCCTGTTTCCACAAAAAATAAAAGGTACATATTGTGACCACTCATTTACATAAAATTCAAAACCAGACAAAAGTAATCTATGATGTTAGAAGTTGGGAACATATCACTCTTGGATGAGGTCCAGTTACTGGCACAAAGGGGGTTTTTGAGGTTCTGGTTAATATTCTATTTCTTGATCTGGTCTAAACTCCAGGGATCAAGCAGTCCTCCTGCCTTGGCCTCCCAAAATGCTGGGACTATAGGCGTGAGCCACTGCGCCCAGCCTGTTTCCAGTTTTAGATCTGGAACAGAGGGCCAGAAAACTCTTTTGATAAAGGCCAGGCAGGACAGGTTTTAGACTTCATAGGCCACAGATGCTCTTTGTTGCCTATTCTTTTTTTTAAACTGCCTACTAAAAATGTAGAAAGCACCCCTAAGCTTGTGGGCCATCCTAAAGCTGTGGGCTGTGATTTGCTGACCTCTGCTTTAGAATATACTGTTACTAGAATTTTCCTACATGTCATTTCTGTTGGATGATACCTAGGAGTAGAGTTGCCAGGCTACAAGCATCTACCCATTTTTCCCCATGTTGTTTTACCAGCACATGTGAGTTCTGGCTTCTCCACATCCTTGGCAAGCTTGGCAGTGTCAGTCTTTATTTTAGCCATTATCATAGCTATATAATGGAAACTCGTGTTTTTTTAACTTGCATTTCACTGATGACTAATGATGTCAAGCATCTTTTCATATATTTGTTGGCTGTTTTCCCAAGTTGTAAAGTGCCTGTACAAGTCTTTTGCCCATTTTAATTGGATTTGTCTTTTTGTTATTGATTTATAGCAGTTTTTATTTATTTTTAATATATCTTGGATAAGAGTCCTTTGTGGGATCCATGGATTATAAGTATCTTCTCTGTGTCTGTGTTTTGCCTTTTCACTGTCTTGAAGGCATATTTTTTGATGAAAAACAGTTCATAATTTAAATGTAGTACAGTATGTCATTTTTGAATTTTATGGCCAGTACTTGTACTTTTGTGTCTTGTTTAAAAAACTTTTGTAGTAACAATTTTTAAACATTTTATCAATACCTAATCTATGTTATATGTTCTTTTAAAGTAAATTAACTTAAGGGATTTTAATTTTAAATGATATATTAATTATATGAATATAACTTTAATTATTATTACAATTTTAATTATACACAATATGCATGTCCATATACATGTGTGTACTTATATTTTTGTGTATATATCTATACAAACACAGATCCTTTGGAATATCAAGTTCTCTTAGACTAGGTAATGTTTGATGACCTAAAATTTGAATTCACCTAAATATTTTTCTGAAAGTTTTTCATGGAATAAAATAAGATAATCCTGAGTCTTTTAAAAAATGTTGATGAGTTACTAAAAGTAATAAAAATTTGGAAGAATGTTGATACAGTTATACAGGATGTCACTAAAGGTTTGTTTTTTTCAAAAGCTCAATATATACTTGGTGATACAGATTTTTGAACATAAAATTCCTTTGCAACCAAGAAAAAATTTTTAAAGAGATCACAAACCTAAGGTTTTCACATAAATAACTCAAAAGTACTAAAATTAAAAAGGAGCCCTGCTGACAAAAAAGGTGGTATGAAATAAGGAAAACTTTGGTTAGAATATCAGAAAAATGTTCCATAAAATGAGAGGTGACGTTGCGTTAGTCGTTTTGGAGCCAGATTGGACAAAACCTTAGTGGAAGTGGCTGGAACCTCTACAAAAACTCTTTAATAATTCATGACTCAGTACTAACTCACGACCAGATTAATGTCTCTTGGCATGCCCACTTATTTGAAAAAGATTTAGTGGAAGAAAATTCCTTTAGAGCTGAAAGGAAGGCACTTGTCATCAACAGAAGAGAAACCACATACAGTAGTGTCTACAGAGAATGTACTGATATGTGAATACCAGAGTGACTCATTTTAAGAAACTATGAAATAAATATTCAAATTTATAGGACAGACAAATTAGGAGCTGATTATATTAAATTCTCCTGCATGCAAATGTCTTTAGAATGAATGTTTTTCTTTTCTTTTCTTTTCTTTTTTTTTTTTGAGTTGGAGTCTCACTCTGTCACCCAGACTGGAGTGCAGTGGCCGCTCCTGGCCCCTGCAGCCTCGACCTGCTGGGCTCTGGCGATCCTCCGCCTCAGC